CAACATAAGTATTGTAGCACATAATGTCTGTATAGACAACCTTCACATCTGAGTCCCTTATGTGGCCAGACCACACACCAGCCAATTTGACAATCCATGTCCCACCATATTCTGTGGTAGATGATACAGCCGACTTAGGGGAGACATTTTATAAATATACTGTATATGCATATGTATGTGTGTATGCACAGTATATACATACATGTATATATGTACTATACAAATGTGTGTGTATGTATAGTTAGAAAATTATAATAATTGCATTATACTTACCTTAACATGCCTTATGTTCTGAAACCCATGACAAAGAATTTGGGTAAAGTTCCCTGTTCAGATTCGAACCTCGAAACTTTGCTGCCACTTTACCCAAGTTCTTCATGGGTTTAGGAACATCACACTAGGGAGGTGTAACATGACTTTTCTTTTTACTATATACAGTACTGTATATACTGTGTGTGTATGTATTATATATAAGTACATCTGATAAGACTGAATGACCAATAAGGGGAATCTGTATTATGCTTGATTTTAGTTACCGAACCCTATGACAGGGTGAAGCTTGTAAGACTGAAACTGTGTGTGTGCAAGAAACACAATTATTGGCATTTACTGAATATTCTAGTCGGCTTGTTGTGACTAGTAAATTACTTAATCAATAAAAAGAATGGTGGTGAACATTTTATGATGTCAGAGATTGTCGAGTAAAAATAGTGTAATACTGTTGGCTAAAGTCAGTATAGTGTCTCCTCTCAGGTGGCTGTGTCTCTACCCATGTGCCCATAGACCAAAGTTTTCTTACACTTGTACAGTCAATTTGCATTTGCCATTTAATTTGTGCCACTTTATTTAGTGCATCTGAATTTGTTTCGTTATGGATGCATTTTAATTCTTTAATTAACTTTGATTATTTACTTAGTATGTATAATAAATTGTTGGACTTAGGTCACAAGTAAACTATTGATAAATATGTTTAGAGGTAGAACAGAAGGATCAAAAATGTAATTAAGTTCAGGATTTTATTTAAAAGTATTTCAAATGTGCTATTTCTCTAGTATATAAAATTCTGGTGAAAATGAATGATTGACAAAATCATGTGATGTTTTGTGCACTCAAAATTGCTAAATTCTTACATTGTCACATGTATTTATATGTACAATGACTTGTTTATTTCCTAGGTCACATGTTTGGTGTTGATTATTATATTCTATGTCAAGTTAGTGACATTTATCTGTTCTGCCTCTCGGCTAAGTTCAGTATCTGGACTATCAGTACTGAGTAGGCATCTCTTTCTTAGATACGATAGACGTCTTTGTAGACTTTAAAAACATCTTTTACGTAGAAACCATATCAGATTATGTTGTAACAATTTTTCTTTTCACTTTATTTATTTTATTTTTTTATTTTTGTATTTTTTTTCATTTTATTTGCTTTAAATAAAAAAAAAATCTATCAGGTATTTTTATGAAACCCCCAGAAAAAAAAAATATATATATATAAATATGTATATCTTTTTTTGGTGTTTGAGGCATAAAACGCTTGGCCAGGTGCCTTTAGAATGTTTGGGCATAGCCTTGGTTGTCTTTTGGGGTGTTTGAGAACCCAAGGCTATAGCCTTGAATGTCTTTTGGGGTGTTTGGGGCACCCAAGGCTATATGTGTGTCTTTTTGGGATGTTTGGGGCACCAAGGCTATACCTTGGGTGTCTTTGTAAGAGTGTTTGGGGCATAGCCTTGGAGTGTGTCTTTCGGGGTGTTTGAGGCACCAAGGCTTAACTCTTGAGGCCTGTCTTTGGGGTGTTTAGGCACCCAAGGCTATACATGTTGTCTTTTTGGGTGTTTGAGGCATAGCCTTGGGTGTCTTTAGGTGTTTGAGGCCCAAGGCTTGAACATGAGTGTCTTTTAGGGTGTTGAGGCACCCTAGGCTATAGCCTGGTGCCTCAAACCTTAAACTTCTATACTGGGCCTCAAAACACTAAAACACACAAAACTATGCCTAAACCTGCCAAGGCTATACTCAAACATCCCAAAAACACAGGCCTGGCAGCAGGTGCCTCAAGCATCCCAAACTGCTGCTTGGGTGCCTCAAACACCTAAAAAGACACACAAGGCTTCTTGGGTGCCTCAAACATCTCAAAAAAGACACCAAGCTATAGCCTTGGGTGCCTCAAACATCCAAAAAAAACACACCAAGGCTATAGCCTGGGTGCCTAAACTACCAAAAGACACAAGGCTATAGCCTGGTGCCTCAAACATCCCAAAAACACACAAAGCTATGGCCTTGGGTGCCTCAAACTCCCAAAGACACACAAGGCTATAGTCTTGGGTGCCTCAGCTACCCAAAAAGGCTCCCAGGCTATAGCCTTGGGTGCCTCACTTACAAAAGACACCCAAGGCTATAGCCTGGTGCCTCAACTACAAAAAAAAGACACCCAAGGTTATAGCCTTGGGTGCCTCAAAGCATCCCAAAAGACACCCAGCTGCAGCCTTGGGTGCCTCACACCCAAAAAAAGACACAGGCTATGGCATGGGTGCCTCAGCTACCCAAAAAGAACACCCAAGGCTATAGCCTTGGGTGCCTCAAACCCAAGACACCCAAGGCTATAGCCGGGTGCCTCAAACATCCCAAGACACCCAGGGCTATAGCCTTGGGTGCCTCAATGCCCAAAGACACCCAAGGCTATGGCCTGGTGCCTCAAGCAATCCCAAAAAAGACACAAGGCTATGGCCTTGGGTGCCTACTTCCCAAAAAAGACACTAGGCTATAGCCTTGGGTGCTAACTACCCAAAAAGAGAGACACAGGCTGTAGCCTGGTGCCTCAAACATCCCAAAAAGACACACAGGCTATAGCCTTGGGCCTCAATACCAGACACACAAGGCTATAGCCTTGGGTGCCTCAAGCTTTCAAAAAAAAGACACACAAGGCTATGCCTTAAACTGCTCCAAAAGACACAGGCTGGCCCAGGTGCTAAACATCCCAAAAGACACTCGGGTATGTGGGTTCTCATACCAAAAAAAGACACACAAGTTATAGCCTTGGGTGCCTCAAACCTCAAAGACAAAGGCTATAGCCTTGGGTGCCTCAAACTATCCCAAAAGACACACAAGGCTATAGCCTTGGGTGCCTCAAACTACCCAAAAAGACACACAAGGCTATAGCCTTGGGTGCCTCAACTTTCTAAAAGACACCCAAGGCTATAGCCTTGGGTGCTCACTATCAAGAGCACCCAGGCTATAGCCTTGGGTGCTACTTCCCAAAAAGACACAAGGCTATAGCCTTGGGTGCTCAAACATCCCAAAAAACACACAAGGCTATAGCCTTGGGTGCCTCAACTCTGAGCTATAGTCTTGGGTGCCTCAAACTTCACAAACACCCAAGGCTATAGCCTTGGGTGCCTCAACTCCTCAAGACACCCAAGGCTGTGGGTCAAATCAACACCAAGACACCCAGGTTATAGCCTTGGGTGCCTCAACTATCCCAAAAACCACCTGGGCTTAGCCTTGGGTGCCTCAACTTCTCCCAAAAAGACACACAGGCTATAGCCTGGTGCCTCAACTTACCCAAAAAAGACACACAAGGCTATGACGGTGCCTCCCAGGTTGCCTTGGGTGCCTCAACATCTAAAAGGCATAGCGGTCTTTTACCAAAAAGGACACAAGGCTATAGCCTTGGGTGCCTCAACATCTAAAAAGCACAGGCTATGTGGGTGCCTCAAACTACCCAAAAGACACACAAGGCTATGGTGTGGTGCCTCAAACACCAAAAATAGGCTACTTGGGTGTCAGCTGCAAAAGAGACACAAGGCTATAGCCTTGGGTGCCTCAAACATCCCAAAAAAGACACCCAAGGCTATAGCCTTGGGTGCCTCAAACACCCCAAAAAAGACACACAAGGCTATAGCCTTGGGTGCCTCAAACACCCCAAAAAAGACACACAAGGCTATAGCCTTGGGTGCCTCAAACATCCCAAAAAAGACACCCAAGGCTATAGCCTTGGGTGCCTCAAACACCCCAAAAAAGACACCCAAGGTTATAGCCTTGGGTGCCTCAAACATCCCAAAAAAGACACCCAAGGCTATAGCCTTGGGTGCTATAGCCTTGGGTGCCTCAAACACCCCAAAAAAGACACACAAGGCTATAGCCTTGGGTGCCCCAAACACCCCAAAAAAGAGACACAAGGCTATAGCCTTGGGTGCCTCAAACATCCCAAAAAAGACACACAAGGCTATAGCCTTGGGTGCCTCAAACACCCCAAAAAAGACACACAAGGCTATAGCCTTGGGTGCCTCAAACACCCCAAAAAAGGCTCCCAAGGCTATAGCCTTGGGTGCCTCAAACACCCCAAAAAAGACACCCAAGGCTATAGCCTTGGGTGCCTCAAACACCCCAAAAAAGACACACAAGGCTATAGCCTTGGGTGCCTCAAACACCCCAAAAAGACACCCAAGGCTATGCCTCAAACACCCCAAAAAAGGCACCCAAGCCTTGGGTGCCTCAAGCACCCCAAAAAAGACACCCAAGGCTTTAGCCTTGGGTCCTCAAACACCCAAATTTGCCATTAAATGACACCAAGGCTCTATATAGTTTTGGTTACCTGAAATGCTTCTTAGGTGGAGCTCAAAACTGCTTGCACATCTCTTCAGAGGGCTGTAGCTTTTGCAAAGTAAGGAGGAGGAACTTTGCCATCTTACTAGTAACCAGTCCAAAAATGTTCCAACCAAACCTGCACATGTCGGTTAACATAAAAAAAATGTGATGACGACAGCTCTAATAACAAGCCTTTAATGATAACATATGACTATCCACCGTACTGAAGGAGTTCCATCATAAAAACATATCTTTTGCAACACTCACTTTATTTGCAAGAAATAGAAATCTCCATAAGTAGAGAGAAGTTTTATAGAAATAAGAAATAAATAAACTTTTATTTGTGAAATTCTAAGTAATTACTAAACAAACTTTCAACTTTCATTTGCATATGTCCAAGGGATTAAAAAATCTACGTCATTTTAAAATACATTCATTATTCAGAGACTCAAGACATCACTTTTTCCCCATACAAGACAATCTTTATAAAGTCCATGCAGTACAGTGATACTCTCAAATATTCCTAAAGTCAGGCTTATAAATCAACAACCACAATTCATCCTGGCAGTGTTAGAGCATTTCCAACTTGCTTGCTGCTCACATTCAAAGTGTTACAGCCGTAAGAGAACTGGTACTCAAATTTGTTCTTTTCAAAAGATCAGTCTCCATTGCTTTCTACCAAAATCAACAAGACACACACAACAAGTAGGTCAAAATTGAAATGGTACACATGCTACTTTAAAACTTAGTTGAGAGAGTACTACTTGCAACAATGTGACAGTGCTTGGTTGTCATCAAAACCCAAAACCAAGCAGTAATTACTCCCCATAGAAGTTACAGTCTAATCGGAAAATGCAATGACACGTGCCAAATTTTCAAGGGCATTTCTCATTATCCAATCGTCATACTATTTCCCTCAGGGCACAAAATTACTTCATCACATCATTTAGCTTTTCTGCTCACATCTATATACTGAATATCTACAACTACAAGCAAAGAAAATTCTTATATATGGACCTATCATCCAATAATCATTTCTCTTCACTTGGCTGGCACATGTAGAATCCTTTTCAAAGCACTTTGGTACACTAAAAGGAAACTTGAATGACAACCAATTGATTTGGTTCTCTTAAATCATTTGCCTTGTTCTAAAACACTACTGGTTGAATAATTATGTTGATATAACCAAGATTATTTCCAATACAGTAGGTGTATATTGTAAATGATTTATCAGTTGCCAATAATAAAGTCAAATCATATAAGTTTTCTCTCAAATCACAATTTTTTTTTAAAGAGGTGAAAACTAAATTGCCATAATAAATTTACTCAAACCTCACTTAGCTCTACCCCTTAAAATACTGATACATTATAGAGCTCATTATCCTGGATAAAAAAACAATCCACACAGCACTTCTACAGTTACACAATACACAAGAGGACACAGTGCTCGCTGAGGGAGCACACCACCACTAATGACAGCCTCGTACACTGAGCCAACCAGTGCTCATCTCAGTTTTGAAAGCAGCCCCCTGACCATTGTTTACTCTGCCTTGTTCTCTCTCTACCTAATTTTTTAATGTATATTTGTCAGCATTTCATACCATAATCTGTAGAAAAATGCCTTCAAGTGTTTAGGCTGGAAATGTGACAAAAAGCATCACTTTAAATGTTAAATGCAAGTGTCAAGGCAGATAAACATACGGTGGATGCGAGTCACACATTACACTTGGCTATATCAACCATCAATTTTCCATGCTTCCAAAATTATGTTTACTATCTCGATTATTAACGCATTACTAATACTCACAAAGTAGCCCTCATTTATCATTTATACATAAGAATTAACACTGCCAGGAATACATTTCCATACATACAGTGGTATAACGACCCCTTTTAGCAGATTTAATTAGTGCTCACTTCCCTAGGAACATACCTAGAACACTAAGTGAGGTATGAGTGAACAGTACAAGGAACCAATTGCATTATTACTTTCATGCCGGCCAACCTATACCATGCACGAAATACTTGTAAGAAAATATTTTAGTAAATAAAAAGATAAAGTATGAATACAGTTATCAGACAACAATATTCAACACCAATTTCCTAAAGCCAACACAATCCAATGTAAATAACAAACTAAGATTCAACTTGATTTTCTGAGAAGATATGCTCCTCTTACCTTATTATTCCAAGCTGACCAATCAGCGTGCTTAAGCCACTTCTGTCTTACTTCCTCCTAAAACACTCCGCTGCTAATCAAGCCCTGTGTTCTATACTTCAGTCTCAACTGGGATCCTGGCCCATTCCATAAATATATAATAGGGAGAAATATTAACATAGTCTTCTTGGAAAACTTGCCCTCCACATCTCTCTGGCTAGACAAAGAACTAAACCTGACAAATAAAAGGAAGTTTAGGGTGGACAGCTAATGTGACCCAATGCATATAAAGTACTTCAAAATTAAATGCAAATACTTTTAAGGACTGTCAGTAATGAAAAGTTGGACATCACCTTAAATTACTAGATTTGTGCCTCCATTCAGCAACACACTATTTGATCTGAAAATCCAGTCAGGCAATAGGAGCATTGTAACACTACTCAAACCAGGATATTCTATATAATTTGAAAGAAAAGTGCTGAGGTAAGAACTTTTTGTGAAAGAAAGCACTCATAAATAGGGTACAGCCAACCAACTACAACTATGAGAATCATAATGAAAAGTTTAGTTGCAACCACAAAAAGCTGGTTTTGTCACAAACAAATATTGTACAGTAACTCACAATCAGTTTTTCTTGTTTCTATTAACTGCTCAACAGATCACATTCTTCCAATTATAAAATAATATTTTGAAGTTATACTTTCAATTTTAACAGTCCCCACAACCAAGATAAGAACAAGGATGAAAATGCAGTAACGTGGGTCTGAAGATATAACAGTACCATCTATGGCTGGAGCATCAAATGTTGCACCTGCACCTGAGCAGCCAACAATTAACTTCATATAAGTACAGATTAGTTGATCTTTGCAACTATATTTGGCAACATCATCCCTTTGGCTTTGCCTTAACTACTTACATGTAAAGGTAGTACTACTGTTATCACTACCTCTGCAACCACATGAATCTCAGCCCAGCAGATCAGTTCTCTGTTTAAGGTCTGTCACCCTCACTTTGAAACATTCTGTATGAAATCACAATAACTGATGAAACTCAGTTATAACAATCTTCATGAGAGCTGTCAACTAATGGGAATAAACAGGCAACCAGACCCACTTGAACCTATAATCCACTAATCTTCAACTCATGTTGTGTGAAACAAAGTAAATCTAAGCTCAGCACCTTGAATATTTCCTTACTGCCGATTTTCATTGGTCTGTGAAATTCCTGTCTCTATGTACCTCCAGTGTCAATTTCTTACTACCATTGCATGGTCACTGGCTATTCCTCTGGAAATTCCAGATCACACTAGTAATGAATAAACTGTGAGCTAGATATGCAGACATGTTGTGCATTCTACCGCATATTGTATGATTTACAATAAAACATTGAAGATTATTGTACTCTAGTGCAGTGTGAAGGTATGAGGGAGACAAAACAACACATTTGACCGAGTCAGCTCGTTAATTTATAAGAACCCAGCACAATATCAGTGACCTATTCTTGTGGATGGAGGTGCTGCTACTGTGTGGTATTAAGTTGTGTGAAGTGACAGGAAATACAGTAACCAGTTGAATATTTTGGAGTTGGTGTTTTGGAAGGGGAAAACTACAGCAGAACAGACGTGTGACAGTTGTTGGAGAGACAGTGTGTGTGATGCCACACACTGTACCACCACAATAACATATGACTTCCAGGAGTGACAAACCACAAATAAAGAAAGGACCAGAGACCAAAGCAGTGGGGACAAACTGTCTACTAGTGTTACAATAAGCAAAGTGAAGTTTCTAAACATTTAAATGATGCAAAACTTAACAGAAGTCACTTGAGGATGAAATTTATATATCATATTTCCTATGAGATTTCATTCATGCCCGACTTTGTTGAGCTGCCAACAAAATAATGCTGATAAGCAAATAAAAGTAAAGTTTCATAATGTTACTTCACACCATATACTTTATAAAAATCATTCTGGTAAAATATTTGAGACATACTTTAGTTTGTTTGTAATTTCATATATCAACTTTAATCACATCTAATCAGAAATGCCCTCAACAGGTTACTACAAATCAAGATCAGACCACGATCTGAAAACCGAGTTTCTGGACAAACCAATTTTCAAATTAACTTAAGAGCAGTTTTTCAAAGTTTTTAAGTTTACAGGAGAAAAGAAGTTACACAGAGTAAGTGTAAATGTTTCTCCTACTCCTTGACTCGACAAAACATGGTGCTCACATAAGACAGTTTCCTTGTTGACTGGACTGTTAACAACTAGAGAGCACTGCACTCTGACCTCTCCTCAGGCTTGTATAAGAAACCTTGACACCAAGTCTCCGTCTTTCATCAAAGGGCTGGAATCTGAATTGGTATCAACCCTAAGCCCCGGGTTAGGGTGCTGCTGGCAGTACCCCCCACACAGGGTTAAATCGAGAAAAAATCAATATTTCCAAAATAAAAAAAGGGGGGGGGGGGGAATAGTCGGACGTTTTGGAACGTCACCCGGGGCCTAAGGGTTAACAATATAATACATAGGACTTAGAACTGCAACATGTTTATACTGTATCTTTTTTATTTTAAAAACAATTTTCATTACAATACAAAGTTATAATAAAAAAATATTCAGTAAATAAAAGGTTAATTATCATGACACCATTAAATTTGATAATCTGGAATATTTTACTTGATTTCCATTTAAGATTTATGAAAACTCAAAGATTCACACAGATGTCCTTAACTAAACTAAAACAAAAATCCCCATGGAATCTGACCTATAGTAGTATTACAGATGGCAGGAATTAGCATTGTTCAACATACATCTTGCTTTAGGAGGGATCTTATCACTAGGTTTTCTAACCTAACAGTTTTAAAATCTAATACAGTATTGACGTACATCAAGAATAAAAACACAAAAATATAAATAATTCCCTTCACTTGTACATTATTATTCTCAGTAACAAATTTTTACTTCTACAAAAAAAATGAGATACCTGTTTAAACATGTTGAAATCTCAGTCCAAAACACAGTTCTAATTACTGAAGAAGAATCCCCTTTACTCTTTTCTTCTTTTGTCTTCTTAATTATCTGTTGTCTCCATTGGGTCATCATCAGCGTCCATGTTATCTGTGTCATCGTCCTGGGGGGGTCGCTCAGGAGGCTTCTCGTACGCTTTTTCTAGTGCCGACACCACAACGCCGTCCCACACTGACATTTCACTTGCTATACCTGCAACACAAAATTAAGAATGTAATCTAGGAAGCACATGTGTATTATGTCACACCTTCTTTAATGCATCTATCAATAGATTCACTGGTCTGGAAAACCTGGAAACGTCAGGGAATTTTATAAATAAACCTGAAATTTTATGTGAATTCAATTCAACTTTAAATATATTGTTATTTTGACAGCAATATTACCATAAATTAATGATGTACTATATAATAGGTAAGTAATTAAACTTTTAGGAATAAATTCCAGTAAATAGTCCACTCCAATACTGTACTGAATTATTTGTGTACCTATGATATTTCATGCCAGTGATCAAATATTATAGATTATACTTTATCTATTAATGCTGCAATGATTATTGTCAGAGATGAATTGTTCTTATAATTAAGTGAATTTATCTAAGTGGATTATTCCACACATTTATCATAAGTCATTTTGGTGGATCAGGAGTGATTTTTCGTTTTTGCCGGATTTCCGGAGTTTTTGAAACGTCCAGGTCGACCCACGTGAATCTCACAAATCCGAGGAGAAAAATATGGGGGGAGGGTCAAGATCTTAGCCGATGTTCATCACTAGCCCTAATGATCATCATGATAATAACTGGTTAAATACAATAGTCAGACAGCTTTCTGTTACTGGTATTTAGCCAGAAAATCACAGGTACATACTTTAATTAATACAGTGGTCCCTCGGTTAACGAACGCCTCGGTTAACGAAATTTCGGTTAACGAACTGCCTCCCATAAGACTCTTAAATTCAGATAACGAACAAAAATTCGGTTAACGAATTTCTTACGAACCGACCTCAACATGTTTTCGCTTGCACTGGCCGGTCAACCAGCTTTAGTATTAGTCCGCCAATACATAAATCGGTTCTAGGGCTTAAATTCCTTACTATTTTAGGAAATATCAAGAAGTTTATACTATTCAATAATTTTAAAAGTTTAATATTCAATTTTTTAGTCATTTTAACAATTATTGAACATAATTGAAGGTAAAGTGACTAGTTTAAAGCGCGGCATCCAGCCTCTTAACACAGCAAACAGGCGTTAGTCTCTCTCTGTTTTCACTGGAGGTAACATCTTACTTGAGACTCTCTTCAACTAAATGCTTTTTTCTGTGTTTCCAAGCAAATTATTGGTCATTTTGAAATATATTTTACATATTGACAATATATAATGCAGTGCAGTGTTGATTTAAAGAAAATAATCTTGAAATACACCAAGAGAACTAAAATTTTATGGGTGAAATGGTGCCATGGGGTGACTTCTCTTCCACCCCAATGCCTTCTCTTCTTCCTTCTCCTCCACCCCCATTCTAATTCCCATCATCATCATCATCATCATCCAGGAGCCTTCTACATACACACCTCAAAGTAAGTGAACTTTTCTACCATTTTTGTTGAATTTAGGCAATTTTCGGTGAGCTGGAACCAATTACCCAAAAACCCACTGAAACAATGGTTTCGGTTCACGAATTTTTCGGTTAACGAACAACCTGCTGGAACGGATTGTGTTCGTTAACCGAGGGACCACTGTACTTAAATTCATAGCTGTATAATAATTTTTCTGTCAGATTAGCTTGGGGTGTGTCCCGAAAGGGTCTCAAATTTCTTGATTAATATCATATATATCATCTTTAAATTTCCCAATAGTATATACAGGGGTACAGTACATATTATTGAAAACCTCCAATTTTATTATTGTCGTAATAAATACGGAATTAATGAACCTAAAATGTTTCCAAATTTACACACGGAAAAACTGGAAAAGCCAGAGAATTTTGTTTTATCTGGCCAGTAGACACCCTGATTGAAATAATGTTATTAAAATCTTCCAAGCATCATTACAGCCACTTAATTACACCGCAATCGAATCGTGGACCATATACGTACAGTACAGTATTTGGAATCAGCATACTCAGGGGTACCTACAGGGTATACTGTGATTTTCAGCGAAATCTAATTTTGGGCTGAAACCACTCTCCATAGGTAACATCTCATTTTTTTGCACATAATGGTTGTTGACTTATTCTTAAAAATTTTTTTAAATAAATATAGTGCATATACAGTAGATGCATAAGTAGTCCTCTGTATACACTAAAACCATAGATTCTCTTAGTGTTTAAAGGATTGTAACTCTGTCAAATGCCATTAAAATTAGATGAAAAATAATAAGTGATCATATTTGGTAGCTAGTATCAATGAAGAAGCATCATGGACAGTAAGGAGAGAACAATTATTTATGCATCAACAAGAACAGTCCCCTTCACTAGTGTGTTTACAGGGGTTCGTCATTTAAACATTCCACAAATCATAATCTTTGAAATATTTGTTTTAATATTGTTTTACTTTGATTCCATAGTATGTTTACTATTGTGAGTTTCCTTCTGTCGAATGTAAACAAACACACGGTTGCCACACTACACAAAACCTGACGAGCCCCTGTAAACGCATTAGTGAAGGGGACTGTACAAGTACCTGAGAATTTAACTCCTAGAAAGCAAAGTTCCTCATATGAGACCACAAGTGTGTCAATTTTAGCATTCATAAAGCACTTCAAGAGTCCCCAGTACACCTCACATTACAGACACCTCAACAGAGCTCTCAGTTACATAAGTTATTTTGGAAAACGCACATTCATCACAGTTAATGGAATACACTCACCCCTCACTGTTCACTAGGGTTACGTTCTAGAAATTACCGTGAATCTAAAAATCTGTTTTAACTATTATCGTAGAGTACTTAACTTTTTTTACACACACGCCTACTGTACATGTAGGGTACATTTACACATAAATAAAAAACTAATTAAATAGTGCTCATTTTTACTTAAAACCCTTTAACTATCATATACTGTATGTGTATATTAATGCAGTAAATAAATAGTAAAAGTACAGAAGTTATGTGAGGGAGGAAGGAGGGAGGGTAATTGCCCCACACTCTGATTTATGAAGAGAAGTTGTCTGTTATTGTGTACCTGTTATTGGGTAAGATTGGTCTTTGCTTCACAAACTTCCTCCTAACAACTGCTTTTACGCATTACTCTTGAATTATGAGGCACAACAGTGTTCTTGTACTAAATTTTCTTATGCTGCAGTTCCTTGTGAAGTGGTTCTCTTACTTAAGACTTTATTGTCAGTTTTTTATATTTCTTCTACTTCTAAAAAGTCTACCTTCACACTAAACTCATCCACTAATTCTAGGGCTTCCTCTGGTCTATAATACAAATCGTTCCTTGCTGATGTGAGAGGTGTGGAGGACCCAATGGAGGGGTTCATAAGACCAAGGCACGTGCATCTTCCATGGTTAAAGAAAAGCAAAAAAAAATCTTAGCACAGAGGCTTTGAGGCAGCAGCCAGAGTATACGGGGAACAGCTATCATGTATGAAGGAGTGGTTAATAGACAATTCAAACTGAGGCACAAAAGATGAGACCTATGACAGTGGCTTGAAGCATTACTGAGCTAAATTACAGAATAGACAGAGAACTACTGAGAAATAAATAGATGGTCAGAGAGACAAGGTGATTACTACTGTATATGATTCCCCATTTAAAGACCTATTAAACAATGGTACTACTGTATACAAGAAGAAGGTGAGTAGAAAATATATATAAATTGTAAGTTCCCATACTGGTAGAGTCGGTGTCAAGTGGAAATTAACAAGTAGCATTAATATGAACACCCAGTGACAGCATCTAATATTTACCTTGACTCCTACTCTGTCAGTGGATAAAGGGAGATTACAGAATCCTAAAGTAAGAGGAAGAGCAGAGCAAGAACCATGTAGAACGTGACAAGAAATGCTAAGATAACAAGAACCATATTTGCTCACACAGTGCAAGACCCAAAATGGAAAAAACGAAAAAAAAAAAAAATCAGGGTTAAAAGAACTTACTTGAATTGCCCTCTAGCCCCAGGATCTGCTTGTAGCCACCGTGGGAGAGTACCCGTAATAGTGTCTGCGCTGTTAAACATACCAGGTCCTGTTGTTCCAGGGTCATTGCTGTGTGTACACGAATGTTACCACCCTCACACGGATCACTGATGCCTGCAGATAAAGTGTCTATGATCGGGTTGGTACCTTCACTTCTTAATGCAAGAAATACTTCCTAATTATAAACTTGTCTAAAATGATATTCTACACTGATATTATGTTCAAAGTTGGACAAAAATATATATCAAAATGCTCCTTTGAAAACCGTATGATTTTGAGATACAAGTTATAGCTCTAATATTTACTACACATTAATAATTATAATACTGTAATTATACTGTGAACAATAATTCCATATTCTTTTAAGGCACAATTGTTGAGTAAAGTGAAAGAAGCGAACACTCTATAACTTTTACAGTATATACAGTATCATGATGTGATAAAACTTGGGGTAAATTCACAGTTTCTCCTGAGCTACTGACGCCGAAGAATGAGTACAGTACAGCACATCATACACCTCACTACGAACTGAGTCATTCAATGGCAGTGTTGTTTAACCTGCAATATTTCTTAAAGAGACAAATATATCCTCAAATAAAACACTGTCATTTCTCCCTAGCATTTAGTATCTCAGTATATTGTACAGTACAGTATTTGCCATTTCAGACATTGGTAAATAACCCCAAGACACTGTGTAAATACTTATGTGAGGCAAAATAGAAAACCCTAAAACAAAAAAAAATAATTTTTATCTTCCTCTTTAACTTCATATAACCAAATAAGATCAAAATTCAGATCCAACAGGAATAGTTTCTCAAGTTTAAATATAACATCAAGTTGTAGGTTGACTTATTACCTTTAACTACGTACTCACCTGCAGATCCAGGTAGGAAAAGACCTGCGGCAAGTAGCTGTAAACACCGTCGGAATGCAGAGTTGATTGGGAGAGCTTGTCTACTGGGGTTGTTCAAAATAGCGTAATGTGCCTGAAGATACACATAAAGAAAAGGGGGAAGACAGACATTAGATCAATTATCTGATATATATATATATATATATATATATATATATATATATATATATATATATATATATATATATATATATATATATATATATATATATATATATATATATATATATATATATATATATATATATATATATATATATATATATATACAGTACATCTTGGCTTTTATCTGACACACCATTAGTAATCTTTAAGCCAAGGAAAAAATGCTACTACAGTCGACCCTCGTTAATTCGGATCCCTTTAATCCGGATTTCGGATAATTCGGACAAAATCTGAACTTTTTTTTTTTTTTTAGATTTGTAGGAATATTACCTACGCGGACCTTAACCTAAAATGCTGGTCCACCCACTGCTGGGATAAAACACCAGCATCTTTTTGGTTAAATGTAACATCACCACTAGTGTAGGGGGGGATGCAACTTTTAGCTTCAGACATGAAAAATATTTACCATTTACTGCCAGTAAACAATGGAAACGTAAAATATGTACCAATTAGTAATGAAAAGTTGTGCAGTTCCTTCAGCAAATGAAGCTCACCAACTTACAATAGGCTAAATTACCTTACAACGTGTTTTCAGTAGTCTATGTTGAAGTTCTTAGCACAGGCTAACTTATCATATCATATACGGTATCACAGTTCTCATTGATCTACAAAAAATACCGGTAATAAAAACCTTTTCGATATTTCACACTTAATATAATAACCGGTAATCTACTTCAACCTCCTATTGTTTACAACGAAGCATGACGCACCACCAGCTGTTGAGTATCAGCTAGACGGTACACGTGTTTTTCGAATCGTTTTCAGTTAAAAAGCTGTTACATCACATGTATATTTTACCTTAACTGTGCCTAAATAAATATATTCTCGGAAATACATAGTAGTTTTGTTGAAACGTGATGTATTTTAATGTAAAATAGGATAAAATACATGACGAAAACAAAAGTTTTTACCTAACCTTCCGATGTTCAAGAGAAGTTACTCGTTTTTTAATAGTTTTTGGTTAAAATACTGTTATATTACAATGGTATTCTATTCATGCTGTGCTTGATATAATACATTCACGGAAATGTAATATTTTTGCTGAAATGACGTACGTATTAGTGGAAAGTGGGATAAAATCGTGACGAAAACAATGACTTTCGCTTTCTTTCGTTCAAAAGATGTTACCGTAATCGCTTTTCGATTGGTTTTCAGTTAAAAAACTGTTGTATTACAATAATATTCTAACCTAATTGACTTGAATAAATACTACGATACCATATTTCTGAATATTTTCATTAAAATCCATCCAAATCATTTCCCTTGTCATCGTCTGCAGCACCAAACAGCTTCTCCCAGTCTTCTCCTTGAACATGGCTAGAGGGTACGTGTTTTTCGAATCATTTTCAGTTAAAAAACTGTTACATCACACGTATATTTTACCTAAACTGGAAAAGAATGAATATATTCTCGGAAATAAATAGTAGTTTTGCTGAAACGTGATGTATTTACCTAAGCTTCCGATGTTCTTGAGATGTTATTCGTTTTTTTAATAGTTTTCGGTTAAAATACTGTTATATTACAGTGATATTTTATTCATACTGTGTTTGATATAATACATTCACGGAAATGTAATATTCTTGCTGAAATTACGTACGTATTACAGTGAAAAGTGGGATAAAATCGTGACGAAAACAATGACTGAAATATAATGCAATATTAACCCCTAAATCGGTTAATTTGGACAATCGGCTAAAACGGACACCCTTCCCCCCCTATTAGTCCGAATTAACGAGGGTCGACTGTATTTAGTTGACCTGACAGATGCTATTTCGATGCCAATTCGTTAAAGTTCATGGAAAAAATCAGGGATAACAAGAGGCTTCGTAAATAAATAAACACACGGCTTCCTTCGTCATCTAAGCTCAGGTATCACATATAAAGTGTTTCTGCTCTGTTGTGCATTACCCTAATTGAAAGTCTTGATCCTAAATGCAATGTTTTCTTTGTGTGGTGTTGTTTTAAGTTATTCAAAATCATGTCACAAAGCTACGTAAAATTGCTAGATACTGTATTATGAATTAGCTATAAAAATATACTTATTGTAAATGCAAATTATGTTTATTCAAAGCTAAAAATATCTTAAATAAACAAGCTTTACTCAGCAATGGCTCGAAAGATTTTTCACTAGTTTAAAATAAATATCCATACCTACTTATCCAAAAACTCTAAGCCATGCCAAGCTGAACCATAATTTGTTCTTTGTCTTTATGGTAGTTATCAAAGCCCTTACATTAAATATACCCAGGCTAAGCTTCACTTGTACTTGGTATGTAAAATTTGTCCAATAAAGAATGTCCTCGGGTAACATACGTCCAGCATACGAACAATCGACCGATACTAACCCCATAAAGTCTGTTATTTAAAAATCTATCATAAGTACAACTGATCGTAGTAACAAATGAAAACTAGTTTGCGTGGCAGAGCATAGTGGAGTGTCACCCAGCCACGCACCTTGTACTCCTTACGCTTGTCTGGCTAACGTGTGTGTGTGTGTGCATTTTTTTATCATTAACTCCATTTTTCTGCCTTCATCATGGCTCCTGTATGAAATTTGATCCAAATCCACAGTATGACCCCAAATGCCAAAATCTAAGGTAATAGGTCAGGATTATTTTTGACGTCAAACAAAATTTTTTGAAAAATGAAAATTAAAGTGTTCATATAATATAGAATATATTTATAAGAAAATGTATATTAAGGTGATTTAAAACTTACTGGTAAAGTGCAATTGAATTTTTAAATTACTCTATTTTATCATTCTATTTCTTCTTTTCTCTTAAATTAAGTGATTTTCGGTGTATATAAGGACTTAGGCTATGATACAGTGGGATTTTAAACATTGTTCTGTAATTATTGAGAACATCCGTATGAACGGAACTCGTATGTAACCCAGGGAAAGCCTGTAATCAATCAGTACACAGAATGATTGAAACTGATAAAATAATAACTCACAGAAAAGAGCAACACAGTTTGAAAATGGCATCATGGTTTGTTACCCGAGATATGTTACTGCCTGATTCATATTGTGATTTTATAAAGAATACAGTAAAACCCCAAATTTAAGTGGTACAGGTTCACTCTTTTATCTGGCAACCCTGTGACCAGTGCCATGACATATGAAAGAAATTCTGGTTAAACTGAAGGTTGATAACTAATGCCTCATAATGTTTGGAATTTCTTAGTAGCTACACAAATTAGACACATTATAATGAATACATCTTATAAGTACATGTGACAATACTGTAATATTTAATAAATGCATAATGAAATAAAACAATGAATGAAAAGTAAGTAAATTCACAAAACCTAGGCAACACAAAATCATAATTGGGCACATGTAATCATAACACGGATAAACCAATGTCCCGAGAATGACTAAACTCGTTATATACTCACAAGCAGATCCAACATCCACGGCGACAGAGGCTCAAAACCGTCAAAACGCCCGCGGAGATCTCGTAGTAATCGGATAAGAACTTTAATCGTGGAGTGATGGGCATTCTCTTCGAACCAGCGGCTGAGGATGAAACGAAATCACATTAACCTTCCGGAAGACATTTTGTGGACAAACGTAAATAATTGCTCAAGAGACCTAAATAGATTAAAATTAGGACTAAGACGACCGAAGATTAAAAATACCAATAGGTTGATGCATAAAACATTAAATATAATAACTGGATAAGTTCAGTATAACAAACCACTAAAACATCCTCAAAACATGAACTTTCTACAGATATATAATTAACTTGTATAGCACAGGTATATTGAGTGTTTACCTGCGCCCCCCCCCCCAATAAACATACCCACAAACACATAACAAAGGTTAATTGATATAGATGACTGATGTATCTATCTACCTGTGTCTGATAGCAGCTAGGTGTGACTGAAGAATTTTTTGGTCAAGGTGAAGCTCTGGATCCAACTTGCGCAGGTTCTGGTGGATGGTGGTGACTAACACACGCACGGTGGCCTCACTGTTGCTGATCTCAAACCCTCGGTCGTTGGGAAGCATTGTTAATACCAGCACTGTAGGTGAAAAGTGTGTTTAATACCACAACAGTACAAAGAAAGGCGTGTTTGACCCTCAGGCCTCAGGTGACGTTCCAGAAAGTCAGACTAGCGCGCCCCGGTGACGTTCCAGAACGTCCGCCTATTTTCCCGCCTTTTCTTTTTAAGTTGATTTTTTTTCACGATTTAACCCCGCAGGGAAGGGGGGGTACTGCCAGCAGCACCCTAACCCGGGGCTTAAGGGTTAATACCTAGTGACAATAATACCAGCCAAAATAATTTGCATGGAATATTTGTGTAATTGACAACTCAACTCAACTGGCATATGGGACACAAACTTTGCTAAGTAATGACACACCAAATACAGTATACTGTACCCCAAAGTTACTACATGGTTCTACAGTCAGATAATAGCAGAGATATAAAACCACATTAGCAGTGCAGGAGGAAAAACAACTAAATGTACAGGCTTACCTTCCTGTGGCTCCTGAGTACGCAGATCATCGCAGACCTTCTTACCCAGTGCTTCAACCGCCTCTTTCGTGGGCAGCGTCTTGAGAATAACGACAATATCCGCCACGTTATGACCCGTCATCATTGTGCCCTTCTTATACGAGCCCACCTGGCGCACCTCTTCAATTTGCTGCAGAGGTTAACATGAGTGTATTATCACTGTGGCTTATATAGCTAAAGGAGTTAGTGTACTTAACCCTAACATCAAACTATACTTCAATCATTAAAGTGCACTTAAACATAACATCAATTTATATCACACAAAATAACATGTCTGATGAGAAGCTATGGATCACTGAATCATATAAAAAAATTATAAAACAAACAAAACACAACATACAAGGGAAAATCACCCACCCAACAGGCAATTGGCGTGCAACGAACTTACGGAACTTACGCATGCGTCAAAATTGCCCGGATCAACAATTAGATTGTCCATCACAGCTTGGATTTTTGTGACTAGGTTTAGCACAGCAGCCTGCTCAGCTGGTGTTGGTGATAGGTCAGCATTTCTCTTGAGAAGAGCCTACATGTGGATAATGGAATTTATATTACAGTAAGTCACAATTGAAGAGTTCAGTAAGCAATGGAAAAGCTAAATCATGCCCCCATAAAACCTAAACCATGAACTAATTTCGTAAACCAACGAGAGGAGATGATAACAGTTTCCTCCCGGGGCGTAAGGCCTGCTATCACGGTGCTGGAACTATATATTATGGTGGGAGAGAGTCCCACTCAGTTACAGCACACATATGTAAATAGGATAAAAGACCTCAGAGTCCATACTAAACAGGCCTTCTAATATTAACTGAGCTCCTGCACTAAATATTCTTCTCTGAACTTCTCTGAACCTACCTGTGTAAATGCTGACTCATCTGGAGCTGGCTTGACTCTGGGGAATGCAGACTCACAGAGAACCATGTCGAAGGGAAGTCGTGGAACAAATTGCTTCATTTTGGGTCCAAAGTGTGGACCAGGTCCCATGGGACGCATCATGCCTCCTCTCATTCCTCGGCCACGTCCTCGGGTCATTACCATGTCTTGTCAACACCTTTTAACACAAAATTATTACTTATTTCAACTTATCTTTATTAGAAAGGTAAATATCTAACATTAACTTAGAAACATTAAACCTATGAAGTTGTACTGAACTTAAAATGTTAACGAAATTAAATATCATTTGAAGATTAGACACCCCAGCTTATTTCACCTGATGATGAAACACCCTAATGCTATATTCGGTACTTGCATGTTATACATTACAACAAACATATCAGTTACCCCCACGTCATATATAGAGTACAAGAATACTGTACTGAGATTAATTTAAAAGTTAATGACGATTATTAAGTGGACGAAACACATGGGAATATATCAGATACAGTACGGTAATGTAATAGAATTCACACACCAAAATTAAAATAAAAAATAAAAAGACTGTACTGTATTAGTAAGGCAAACAATATTTCAGATACTAACTATAGTACAGTGATTATGAGTGACTACAGCTATGAATCAGTATATGAATGCAATTGGATACCTTTCACAAAGTAATTTTAAGGGATGAACAGTCAATGCCACCTTGATAACATCAGTCATGGACATAAGGAGCAGCACGATATACAGTAATTAATAAGCTTAACTCTTGTCTTACAGAATGCACTACATGGAGCCTACAGTTAGAAAATGGGCAACTTATAGATGGAAACTGTATTCTTAAATGAGATGAGTAACACACACACTGTATCTAAAATAGCAACTTTCTCGGCAAAAGTGTAATTACAGGACTTAGAAGTACAGGGAAAGTGAGGTAAAAAAATGAAAAATAAGTAACAAAACCAAACGACTCAAATTTCAAATACATGACTAACCTAACCCAAGAAACAAGAAAGACCTGACCTAACCTACCATCCAGGGGTAGTGTGTAAACCTAACCTAACCCAACAACACAAAAGAAAAAACAAAGGATCCTAAAGAAACCAAACCAAAAATAAAAAATATAAAAATTTCCGATAAAAACGTAAGTTCTGCTGATTGGTCAAACAGCAGCAAACAATATATATTCCCATGAACTTGTATTCTAAGCAAAATCAAAGTGAAATAACTCTTAAACTATATATTTCCGACAGATAGGCTATATAATACCATTTTTTTCTCTATCTCTCTATATATGAATCAATATAAAGTCCCGTGCAATGGTTACTATGAAATATCAACAGAAATAATTAATGTTCTGTCATTAACTGCTGTACAATGGGTAATTAAAGCACATAATTGGTCCTATTATATACATTATCTTCTGTACACTAATTCCCTATAGTTGTTAATTAAGAGCGGAAACATTGTAAAGTATACTGTTAACGGGTAGGGGGACACTGACTTGGCAGGGGGACACCGACTTGGCAGGGGGACACCGACTTGGCAGGGGGGACACTGACTTGGCAGGGGGACACCGACTTGGCAGGGGGACACCGACTTGAATGGGGGTAAAAATCAACTAGTAAAGGGGTACACATTGACTAATCAGAGGGACACACTAAGAAAGGGGGGGAAACATGAGAGATAACGAGACACATCATATAGGAGGGAGGAAGGGGGGAACACATCTACCAAGACACGTACAAGAGCAACACGACCCTAATCCACACACCCCCTCCCCCAACTCACACTCACAAACACCCTAAAATAACACACAAACATCAAACTGACAATTATAAACGTTGTGATTCATTATTAAACAACACTACGAAGAAAAAAAAATTCCATTCGGCTTCCTATTTCCCCCTCATGTCCTGTTATCCGCCTCAGCGTGAACTTTTTCCTTGGCATACACCTCACATCGATAAAGAGAGGCCTGTAAAAGTATCATGCATGTCTCAAGTGCACGTTTATTATAACTCACAACAACTGGTAAAGATAAATAAGTTGATTACAATGTGTTGACACCTTTTTATGCGACGCCGGGTCCAAAATCAAAACAACATGGCTAAAGATGGTTCCTATAATACCTCCTTCGTTATTTCCAGTCGACATGTTTTCAATCTCAAGAGAAATATTAAAATTATGTATAATATTCTTTAATTATTTTATGTGTATATGGTACGCATTTATTCTTCTGTTTAAATACAACAGAATCAGAATGAATTTTTGTTAAAGAACTTACTTTATTCTTCTCATTGTTAGAAGTTTATTGGAAAAACAGATGATATGAGTCATGCGTCTGAAACTTATTATCATTATTACTAAAATCGTATACCCAATTTGTCTATTACACTACCACATACGCTTTAATAATTGTTTCTCAAATAATTATTATAAGAAAGACTAATGAACATATCGATATGAAAAAATAATCAATACTAATTTACCAGAGGAGCACGTCACAAAAGCCCATCTTGAAATATAATGCATTATATTGTCCAATGTGATTTATAGACGTACTTACTTATATTACTTATGTTCATGTTGGACGGTATCATGACTGTTGATTCAGGTCAATGTTCATCAGTGCATGACAGTAATCAATGTGAGAGGAGTCGGAGCTGATTACAGGAAAAGGCATTGTAGTGTTAAAATAATACCACGAATAAAACCGTGAAATTATTTATTTTTGAATTTTGAACTCTTGTAAGTGGAATGATTTACCAAACACATCTAAAGCTACTCTAAGATCATTTTATAAGTTTAGATTATTTTAGTTGAATTATGAATTGAGTATTAAAGGAAATAAGGATTCAGCATATTTGTTCGTATTATTTTTAACATTAACCATCTTGGTATAATTCACCAAGATGACACTGGTGTAATGCGGTGTGGGGATGCTACCCCAGGACGCTGGGTTCAAAGGGGCGCCAATTTAAAAACTAATTTACCCAGAATTTCGCCATTCCCATAGCAGTAGCAGTGTCTTTTTTAAGTGCAGAATAAATTACGAAAATCTATGGTAAGCACCACATTGGTTCTGATAACAGAGCAATTCATTTTAAAAATGTTGTTCTTTTATATATGTTGTTTCCAATATATAAAAAATACTATCCCGTGGACGAAATAAATAAATATATCATTGTAGCAAATAAAATACTGTACACACAATTATGGCGACCTCTGATAGGCTGAAAATGCGCGCGTTATGGATACTGTATTCATTTACTACACAAATCTGTTTCTACAATACTGTACTCGCCTATGTGTGTGTGTGTATGCCTGACTACGTAATGGTAAATGTGTTTATATTCTGTTTCTAGTCGTCAAGTTCAAAAACACAAGCCAAGGTATTTTCGCGCCTTTTTACAATCAATGCATTTCCATCCACCGAAGTGACACATACTCTGGTAAGGCACATTCAACAGTTATTTGTTGTCTTTTACTATCTTATTGACAATGTCATCGGTCAGAAATATATTTATATATTCAATGTGATGTGCATGATGATTAGGTATAGTGCCAGGTCCCATACTGCGTGGCATTAACGTAAACTTTGAACCACTTTCAATTCTCTGGGGATAAACAGGAACACATGCATATTAGAGACGGGATCATTCCCTTCACTATCACTTATCAGTGTATCGCCATTCGAATTTTTGGTGTCTAACACCTGAAAATGACCATTGGAATCTGTGTCACTCATTTTCTAAAACCACTTATATATAAATCACTGAAGACTAGTACAGATTGAGGGCGATAAAACGTAACTCAGAACTAAGAGCAGGAGCGGCCAAAGATCGCTTTCAAAGAAGCACAAACAAACAAATTGTGAGCCTGTAAATGAATGATAAATGTGGTAAGGTCATATAATCTTCAATTTTTAATGGCCAATGATTCTCTCGCAGGCTAAAAATACCCACGCAAATAAGGTAATGACAAGGATTAATTATTTCATTCCCCAGCTCCTACACGGTTACTCGGGGATAGTATTAGGAACAATAATTTTACAAGTTAGGTAGATTTACGTTTATTAGTTTGATAACATTGCATTACACTCAAGGTCAGGTAAGCAAGTTTTCTTTCATCGATATATTCAGTAAATTATTCTTCCTACAATTAAAATTTTCCCTAGGAAGGATGCACCCCCTGTAATTATACCTGGATTCGCCTCTGGGTTTCACCTTCTTGGTGAAATATTACTGGAAAATAAAATTATCACCTGCCTTCTTAAAATTTAATGGCTTCACTTCATTTCAGAAATGATGTGCAAAGCTGCTCATTTCTCCTGACTCCCTGCAGCCTCTCCACCGGGTCTGCTGTCACTGACTTAGCATATGCTGTACTAACTGAAGATGTTTTTTTTATTGTAATATTAATTAATCATTTAGGTGTTCTTTATATCATATTACACATAACTGGACCAGAAACCTTAGTACAGTAATGATCTCATTAACTGTTACTCGAGGTGGCAAGAGGATCCAATCTTATTGTTCTGAAACCATTATCAATTGTATTTAGATAGAGCATTAAACACTGTACTTGATCCTGTGTGATGTGTGTGTGTTTTAGTGATACATGAATGAACAGTGTCTATGGTGTACTTGTAAACATTGAACAGGTTAAAACAGGACGTTACTTGAGGTTGAAGGTTGACTGTAGGAGTGAAGGAGGACGAGGTTGAGGAGGCCTTGGTGGGGTAATCATGGCCGAGGCTGCAGGGAAGGAGGAGGCTGCTGCTGCTGCTGGAACACTGAAAGAAAAATCTGATGATAGTGAAGGTAAAGGTTGGAGTATATTTTGCGCCTTATGTTTAAATTTTCATTCGTTAACGTATAATAAATGAGTGAGTCCTTCAGCTCGTTCACTCGTACAATTCCTGAGGAGTTTTCGTGTTTGATATTAACGATGGTTATAGCTGTTAGGCATTTATGTGTAATTGGTAATTGTTCCTTAATAAGTAACGTGTGTGAGAGTAACATTGGAGCCATTTATTGTTTGTGTGGCAGTGAGGTTACATGTTCTTAAATTCTCTTTTGCTCACCCAAATATTTATGGTAAATATATTAAGCTTCCAAAACAGTTTCACCACCTTACTGCTAGATATACAGTAATTGTATATAAATGAGAAATGAACTCTGGTCATTCTCAGTAGCACATGTGAATCAAAATAATTATTAACCAGTTTCTGCTTTTAGCCAGAATGAATCATTGAGAACTGCCTTACTGCAATACATGTGCAGTATATGTTGCTTACTTGTTTGTTATTACTGAAATTGGCAATTGTTCTGTTTAAAGGAGAGTAAATTAATCATGATATTGAGAACAAAATTGAAGAAACAGCTTTTTGGAGAGCAGATGATGTCAAGAATGTCTTTTGTTTTAAATTTACTACAAAAAGATTATACCATCTTAACACACCCTCATAATCCTAACCTAACTATCAATCACCATGTGGGGCATCGTCAACTTTAACTGTGCATCACTGTGTCAGGCATCTAAACTAACTAATGATTGGTGTGATAGATGTCTTTATTTTTTTATAAACTGCAGCCTAACCTAACCTGATTTAACTGGTAATACTTTGGAACAAGGGTGTGAGTTAGCCAGTAAGTTTAGATAATTTCTGTTTGGAAGATAATGTTAATAATTTAGATGCCAGACTCTGATGAATGAGTTACCTTTGATTCGTAGTAAATTAGTTGTGTAATCTGTTGTGTAAATTTAATGAAAAAGTAAGTTCTTAAAAACATATTCATCATCTTACAAAGTATTTCTTCATCATGGCAGCTGACACAGGAACACCTCAACAGCAGCAACAGCAGAAAGGGGAGGAGAATGAAGAAGAGGAACTTGAATGTGCAGTTTGTCTACAGAAGTGTGTCCACCCAGTACGACTCCCATGCTCACATATATTCTGCTTCCTGTGTGTTAAAGTAAGTTTTCTATGTATGGTACTGGTTGTGTTAATTGATTGCTCATTATTGTAATATTAAGGGTAAGTAAAGTTTGCTAGCAGAATTTCTCAGAAGTACTTGTAATCAAAACACTGCACTGATTGTTTATTCATTTTAAAGAGTACAGTATTATTCTTTTTTTAACTTGATCTTAGGAAACACATTGTTGCTCATGGATAAATGTTATTCGCCCACAATAGGGTGTAGCGAACCAAAGCAAGAGGTGCGCCATGTGTCGGCAAGAGATACCAGCGGACTTCTTAGACCACCCGACTCTACTGTCAAATATAGAGGCTGAGAAGGAGGAGGTTCTGCCAGGAGGCTATCAGTGGTTCTATGAAGGACGTAATGGTGAGCATCTCTTGTATCTCTCTGTAGTGAATGGCTTCTTCTAAAATTTATCTTGTCTCTTTGATACTGTATCTTTATTTAGTTGATTAATTTAGCATCATGGTGTCTGAAGAATTGTCAGTTAAGTACTGTACTGAAACTCAAGACCTGGAATAGAAATTACTGAGTGATAGATTTCTGATGTGAAGAGCAAGTTGTGAATGATGATGTCTTGAGATAAAAGTTTTTGAGCACTTGAGGAAGACATCAGGCCTTCTCAAAATCAATACTCCTACAAAGTTGACTGTTTCCTGTTTGTTTTTCTTGCTTTTGACTGGCTTTTCATCGTGTGTACAGTAATATGATTCACTCACATTACCTTTATTAATTTTTAGTAGGTCTGTTCTTCATCGTCCATTTATAAAATTTTCTATAATTCGTCTTCCCAAATCACTGAATGTTTACTTGAAGGAAACTCCTCAGCGTTTTTGTTTGTTGTATTTTTTGCCGTCTTACCATCAAAAATGTAAACAAAGCGTACCTGTGACGATGTTTTTAAAGAAGGGGAGTCGCAGTAACGGGCAAGATGTGGGGTAAGAATTTAATATGAGATAAGATGTACAGTATGTAGAAGGTGGTACTGTATAGGTATTTGGACACACACACACACACACCACTTTAAAGAATGCTATTTCTACACATTTTCTTCTCATTTTTCACCCTTTTAATGTATTTTGAAATAAATTCATTCTTTTCCACTTATTTTATGTTAAGCAAGTAGTGGCTTCTTACATACTGTATTTTAATAATGGTAATGCACTGTACATTACTGTATATTAAAAGTTTTAAGCATGATTAATATTATGGTAGCATTGTAAAATTTAATAGTATTTTTGCTAATGACTATTTTAATTTGTATATGATTGATAATTTGTAAATTAAATTATTATTTTTTTGATGTTGCTAAGTAATTGTGGCCTCACTACTTGACTAGGCATACCCACTACCTGTACAGTATTGTATACCATGGTTGAAGCAACAGTAGACACTCTGTACATTATGTACATTATAGGAGAGGTAGTTAAAGTGAATTAAAGTGTTAAATAGTTTGTATTGTATTATGGGTTTGTGTTGTTGAGGTGCAAAACTTAAGTGTAGAGGGTACTGAGAGTGCATGACTCCCGCAGGATGGTGGCGGTATGACGAACGAACAAATACTGACCTTGAGGAAGCTTACACACAGGGAGAGTCGTCCGTCACGCTGCTCATAGCTGGCTACAATTATGATATTGACCTTGCCAACATGAGACAGGCCCGTTCAGGGTGTCCGGGGCTACGCAGACGTATCAAGCGCGATACAGTTTCCTCAGCAGCCAAGGGCACTGCTGGTCTATCAGTCAAGATACTCAGGGACAAGGGCTCAGGACCTCGTAGGTCGGGACGCAAGAGGAAACTGTCCAAAAGAAATTAGGATTAAACCTATTTACCTGATGATTCTCATTTAAAAATACAAATATATTTTCAAATTACTTACACAAAAAAAAAAACACATGAAGCAGATATGTCAGTAATAGAGTCATGTGAGATTAAAGTGCTCACTATAAGAGGAAGTACAGTCTAAGAGAAGGAAGATATACATTAATTACCCTAAACATTACCACAAGGTTCTGACGGTTAGCCAGAGTAAGAGAGATCATATATATGGTCTCTTGTGGGTGAAATTAAGGTGTAATATTGACTTCAGTAGGAGAAAGGTTATATTAATTTTGCATGTGACTTACCTGATGACATGTAAGATACACAAACACCAATGTATGGCCTTTGTGTGTTATTCATTGCTCAAGGAAACTGTTACTGTACACTTTAGATGATTCTTAAATGCCAGAGACTGTTGATAAAAACTTTGAGGTTGTGTGGGCTTCTTGGGTAGTCAGAACTAATTAAAATTATCTTTATGCATTTTTTTCTGAACTTGGGAATGGAAAACCTCTTCTTTTCTTGAATTCTGTCATTTTTCAAGAGTACGTTACACCACTGGAAACTACTGCACAGGATCTTTTAGGTGACAGTACCCTTTATTCTTACTTCTTGCTGAGTAATTATACAGTCATCCACAAAAGTCCTGTTGCCTCTCTTCCTGAACCACGAACCCCAGAGATTCAGACAAGTGAATTCGAAGCATTTATGGGGGGAATAAGTCATTAATGTCTACTGCTTCAGGTTCATGAGTCTGAATTTTAGGGTTCGTGGTTCAGGAGGAGAGGCGATGGGACTTTAGTGAGTAACTGTACTGTGCCTTATTATTATTATTATTATTATTATTATTATTATTATTATTATTATTATTATTACTATTATAAATTATTATTATTATTATTATTATTATTTTATTGAATGATGCCACATTATAGATGGAGTATTGTAAAAGGTAGAAGTTAAAATTGAAAGATGTTTTAAGGGACTATTGAGACTTGTTGGTATTAATGTGATATTTTTATTCTATGCCTTTTCCACCAGTCATTGTTAGGTGTGAGATGCTTCAGTTATCACACACTCACACACACATTGTTCCTTGATTTTTGTATGATTTTAGACATTTTATTTTAATGGTATTTTAGTGTTAGTTTTAAGTATTTTATGTAAATGATAAAATAATGCATGGGTGCACTTTTAACATAGACAATCTTTTAAGACTGAATACTTATGTGTTATTTGATATTTTGTGCACATGGTATTTATTTTTTTTTTAAGTTACAGTTGTGTTTTTATTTAATTGCCTTAAAAAACATTGAAGGTAGAAGAAATCTGATCTTATCATCGCAAAGACTATAAACGTTCTTCGCAATGATTGGTTTATTTCTGATGGTATATTTAGGTACTTGTTTACCCGACACCTGCGGTACATCGGTAAATATGGAAGTACAGTATTATTTGACCATGAAAGAGGTTGGGAGATGTCTTGGCTCTGTTTGACTTTTCTATCCTGAGCTAAAGTTACGGTTATCCTTGACAATTCTTGGTTGGTGGCTGCTAAGTGAACACTGCTGAATAATAGCCTTTTATTTATGTTTAATACCCCTGTATACCCAAAGATAAACTAAAGGCAGCTATTTTATCAGAGATGGCATGATTCACCTCACAACAACCAGCATGTCGACTTTTTCAACCCCTTAATGACAATGACTCGACTCTTTGGGGGTACTACAGTATATTGAATAGGCTCCCTTAGATATCTTCACCCTTTGAGTACGTACATACAGCAAATTAGCCCATTAAACAAAATATTTTAACCCTTTTAATACAGTGATTTTAAACTATTCTATGACCCATTTCTACTTGTTGTTTATTACCCAATTTTGTTTTATTGTTTGTTCTTTTGTGTGAGTTGTTTAATTTTATTTCCTGGATATTCAAGTTTAGTCGGCCTTTATGTATGGTATTCGACACTTGGTATGTTCATGTTTTCGGGCCAATCTACGGTAGTTTTAATTATCTCACTGTATATGGCAGATGTAAAGCCCCTTTACCTGGGAACCTGATTGGACTTTACCCAATTTAATGGACACTAATCTGATCCCAACCTAATGGACCCTAATCTGCCCCCAACCTAACGGAAGTAATCTGCCCCCAACCTAACTTAACCTACTCTGGCCCGACCTAACTTAACCTGTTCTACCCCATTCCTAATCAAAAGTATTCTAATTTAACCCATTCCAGTATACATATTAAGTATACTCACATTCAATCCCTGCCTGGGTCAGACATGAGAAGGGTGTTGTCTAGTGTGACTCAACCAAACGTCACAGGTTTCCTCAGGGTAATCCAATTTTTTCTTACATATAACACTGAACCCAAGTGGACCTGTAGGGAGACTGGTTGGTTATAGATGATAAGAGTTATTCAGTATCGTACAGTTTATATGAGGCATTGTGAATCATAAGCTCCGCCTGCCACAAGCCAATATGGCGGACAGCAGGTTATATGATTCCGAATGCCTCAGATATATTGCTCATCCAATCAAAATGTACTTTATATAACAGGGAAGTTTTATCCACGACACTATTTTTTACAATATGTTTAGCATCTTCCTACTCTGAGGTGGAAAAGGCATACTGTAAGTTACAATTACCTGTTGTTATGGAACTTATGGTATAGTCTAGTAGAAGTTTAGTTTGGGAAAGGTCTGCTCACAAAATTAGTATTATTTCAAAAATAGAGTATTTTTTTTTTAGGTGCCTCCTTTTATCTATTACGTTTGTATTTTAAAAGGTTGAATTACTTTATACACTGTTAATAGTAATATAAATGTTAAAATGAAACAGATGATTTATATGATTAACCAATGGTCTGTGTTCACCTCGTCACCTGCCTGGAGTGTTTTGGTTGAAGTTGAATGTAGAGGAGTAATGATGTGAGGCAGAGAGGAGAGTGTCATCCCACTTGGACGATCATCTTTTATGCCATTAAATCATCATGTTAGGTTAGGTTAGGTCTTGTTGACATTAAACTTGATTACTGTGCATACACTGATCACAGTCTGGGTCTGTGGGTGACTGCATATCTTCAAAGATCTCATCACCATGAAGGTAATTACCATACAAATTACTCAGTCATTAATCATTATTAGTGATTTTTTCATGTAATTATCATATATTTTTAAGGTCAGTAGAGGGGTCAGACAGCTGGGGAACTAAACATAAACTAATGATAGTTATGTAACGAAAGGGAAGTGACATAAACAGTTTGCTTCCTGAGGGTAAAGGAACATGTACAGAAAGACCTACACTCATAACCTCCACAAATGTTTGGGCATAACATAATTAATACAGTAATTAATGTTGATTAGATAGTGATCACTTCAAGTGTCTGGTGAACTTCTAATTCATTTAATTATAATATTCTATAGTAGTTCTTTCAGCAATCTGTATTTATTTAATGCTTGCACAACATATATTTTCATGAATTTTCTAAGTGTTAGGATTTGTTTCCATATTTACAGTACTGAATTGTTCACCTTGCTAATATGGACACATAATTGGAGCCCCATGAACACCCATACATACTAATATATACAGGTACTGGGCTGTATAGTATAGTAAACTTATGTATTTATCTTACAGGCTGGTGGCAGTACGATGAACGCACTAGTTACGAGCTCGAGGCTGCTTATGGATCTGGTCAGCGTGCTTGTGAGGTGCTGGTCGCAGGGTTCCTCTACATCATTGACTTTGACAGAATGGTACAGCTGAGACGAAATGATCCTAGTAGGAGGCGACGCATTAAAAGAGACCTGAGCTCTATTCCTAAAAAGGGCGTCGCAGGTATTAAACTTCCAAGCCAGTTAGAGGCAGAATTATCGGCCCTTCATTCAGCAGCCCATGCAATACACATACCGAATCCAAGAGACCCCACTATACCGAGTGATTTAGTGGATAATATTGATTCAACGACAAACAGCAACGATCTGTGCCCACGTACTCCCACCGCCCCGAGCAACACCCCCCAGACCCCACATACACCGAGTGCAGCAAGTAGTAGTAGTGGATCCCCCGACACCACCGAACCAACACATTTACACACTTTAAGTACAGATTCTCACCATCATCACTATCACCATCTACCACAACATCATCATCACTTACATCATCACCAGCTGCACATCCCTCCTCATCTCACACATAATTTGAACACAAGTAGTGATCATAATATCTTAGCACACACTATACACTCACCTCAACAATCCAGTCACCATCAATCTCAGCAGCACCTCGACTCCGTATCACCAGCAACAGACAGCGGACCAGATGAAGTTCCTGTGCCCAGCCTCCCAGGTGTAACTCCGGCCACCACTGACCTCGAGGCGGCCGTATACCAAATGGACCAACTAACTCTATCAGCAGATGCTCCCGAGTTTTATCCGCTCGATTTGACAGAGGATTCGACCGAGGAGACAGAACAATACCACCTAACCCTGTCTTCGGAAGATGAACAACTCTGATTTTATAACTTGTGATATGTTTGTGATGCTTAACATGACTTTTCCTTATTATAAATACCTGTATTGTCTACACCTAAGTAAATTCTGTGGTGAACACTTAATGGGAACAATTAGCAACACAGATAAAAATGTAGTCTTATAATTTTTACACAGAATATTGGACAGAATTTTGAAGGTTTATATCTTCAAGTAATGCTGTTCAAGTCTTTTTAAAATAGCCTGACAAAGATTATAAAGTACAGTAGTGACTTTAATTTCTTTTTCTGGAATAAAAATTTTATTCCTCGAGTGAATGACAGTATTTTTTGGGGGCGATCGTGGAAGTGTGTTACAAGAGTTCTGAATCTGTGATGGTGTAAGATGTAGCTTATTGTGGAAATAAATTGGATGACTATTTAGGTCACAGTTATAACCCAGATGAATGATTATAACTGATAATTATTAGTTACATTACAGGTCAGAGGATTTCTTCAGCAATACGTGAGACCCTCGTACACAAGTGGTTTAAGAATACCATCACCAACACTTACCAGCACTGACACACACTTACTGTACTACACACTCAACAATATCAGCTAAATATATAGCTACAGTACTTATTATGATGTGTATTCAGCTTATAGTTTTCTGTCTGAAGTTCGCAGTGGAGAATTGAAGGCTCATAATGGCCAGTTGATAATGTCCCTATATTGAAACCAGGTTAGTTGATGACTTGGTTCAGTTATCTGTTACTACCCCGGCAGATGGATTCCTTAACATGGCCAAATATGAAGTGATCAGAAGTTGAATGCTTTTAAAACATGACTTGAAAGATGCCTTAGCTTTTGGAATATATTTCATGTTCTCAAACTACTAGTGAATGAAGTTTTTTGTAGCTGAAGCATTTAAAGGATGAAATTCTAGGTAAAATGAAGTGAGTGGCTTTAAGTTTCCAGTTAATTGCACATGTTAATTTCTAGTTTTTTTCCAAGATATATACAAAAATTATCTAAGTACTGTAGATAACCAAAGAGCACACTCCATTACATGAATCCAGTTTGGTTAATAGCCCAACTTATTTCGTTTTGTTCTTCACTAAATTTCAACAAATACAAACTAATCAAAGTTTAATATTGGTTGTGAGAGGAATTTACATGTACTGTCAATTTGTTTGTGTAATCTTTATTTCTGGTACAGTTCAGTAAAACTCAAGACAGGAATACATTAACCTGTATAGGCTTTACTGGCACATGAAAGTTTTAACAATTATTAATACTGGTTACATTATTGTTGTTGACAGTTACTACACGTTCTTAACAATCAACATTGTTTACATGAACTTTTGCAGTTTTTCAACATATATTTGGGGTTAATTTGACATTCGCCTTTTTTGGTCCAGTAATCACAGAAGGGCAACTTGTCCAAACAACTCAGGTTAATATCTGAAATAAAAGAAGATATATTAATATAAATATATACTGTATATGTGTGTATGTCTAGAAATAATAAACGGTTTATTGGTGGAAAGAGAAAGCAAGCAGTGGAAATACAAGGTAATTAGGGCTTGTTATTAATATTTAGGGTAAATTTATTAAATGCAAAAAAAATCATGGTTACTAAGTAATTGATAAAACTTGAAGTCACTATGGATGTCCATGACAGTCAAAAGTAACTAAAACGCTGTTAAAAAATAATGAAAAAATTTAAAACTGTGTATATGAAAATGCGGCACCATTCATTGTGTTTATTAATAATTATCTTGAGTTAAATGTGCAGTACTCATCAAGGGCTATCAAGAGAGCTCCTATACTCAAAAGGCTCAGTCATATCATTATTGCTGTGTAATAAGTATTTCAAAGGCTAAGCTGCCATTGTTACAAGCAGACCCTCGCTTGAATTTTTGGGCGGGAACTTTCCGTGTACTGTATTACATTTATGGCTATTTCATGCTGTAAAAAAAATAGGAATAATTAAATACGTCTATTTTTTTAAGTTAATTGTTGAAAATATTGAGAGCTGTTAATATGTACATTTTTAAACATAATTAATAGCTCGCTTGACACCAGCAACAGCAGGCGGCCTCCATGACATGCAAATGGTAGCCGCGGTCCGCAGAGATATATATTTTTGACGTGTTTTTAGTCTTGTGAATGATAAAATATAGCTCCTATATTATTATGAATATACAAATAACAAATCTTCCTGTAGCCGATACTCAGAATAACACAAGGTAAGTAATATCCTCGTAATATAGTAAATTAAACCCGATTGAATGTTTCGCCCAACGATTGATAGACGATACGGAACTCACCTGGGGGTAGATTACAGCTGGTGCATGACTGGGGACACTGGATTAACATGTACCGGGGATTGATGAAACACTGACCGGTACCTGCCCAGTAACCGCAGTATGGAGAATTGTTCTTACACGTTGCACCTGCCAAACACACGCACACACCATTAGAAAAGTAATACGAACTTCAACATCATTGCCAAAATATTTTATTCTAATTAAACTAATTTGGATTATTTTAAAGTAGATTAATTTGGTTTAGTTAGGTCAAGGTTTCACTGATTTGGTAAGTTTTATTTCATATTAGTTTGGTTAGTCTAAGAGGGTTTGGATTAGAGGCTTCGTTGGTTAGGTTTTGTTGGTGTGGTTAGGTTAGGTTACATTTGTTAGATAAGTTTGGGTACGGAAATGCTATAACGTTTTGAACACTGGCAACATCCACGCGCACACATTGACAACCTAGACACGCACTGACAACAATTATTTACGTCTTGTGCACTACCGCCAAAATTCTGACAATGAAATGAGCCAAGTCAGTACATGAGAGAGAGAAGGGGGGGAGAGGTGACAATCCCTACACCTGGCTGTCGTTCAGTTGCCGACACTAATGTTAAGAGATGTCATCCACCACCAGCTGTTGAGAAGGCGCGCGTTTGTGTTTTGTTTATTTCATGTCTTGAATACTGTGGTGTTTTAGGTGCTTATTATTGATTGTTTACCTGCACTGTTGTTGTTTGTATACCTGTATTGAATGTTGTTTTTATACCTACGTTGTCTATATGGTTTGTATACATGCAATATCTTAATGTACTGTTTTATACCTGCACTATGTATATATTGGACTGTCTATGTATACGATGCATCACTGAACGTATTTGACGATTTGACGGAGAAAATATCCACACGGTATAACTATCTATGTCTCGCAACTGTTGAAATAATTTATCTTGGCCAGTGAGGCACATTCTTCATGGCGTCAGTGACATTACAGAGAAGACCTGTACAGTGGAGCTCCAGACACGTCTAAATTTAGTTAAGTTATAGTTTAATTTAGTTTAGATTAGTATGATAACGTCACAATAAGATACAATAGTTATTAGCAGCGTGTCAGTTGATGTCATTTTTTGTCCTAGTGAGTGGATAAGTGAGTGAGTGAGTAAGTGAGAGGATTTAACCGAGTTTCTCTGTATCTGTTACTATTAAAATAAAGACGGTGATGACGCAACTTGTGTTAGAGAGGTGAAAGGTGAGAGAAGGGGATATGTGAGAGTGAGTAGTACTAACCACAGCGACCACAAGCTCGAGGACAATTGTTGTTCATCCAGGAGGGGTTGACGGTACACTGCCCACCAGCCGCCCACACCTTGCACACACTAGCGACATCCTCACACTTGTCACCAGCTGCAGAAAAAAAAGTCTATTATTTGCTCCTTCTTCTGTATAACCATTACATCACACTTCACCAACTAGGAAAAAAATAACATGACATTAAATATAAAACCATTTTCTGTCTCACGCAACTGAGAACTTAATAAGCTTCCCAGAACATAATTCCCCTCCCTAATTGGAGTTGTCGTATAAATTTAACTGAAACTAAGATAAATAGAACGCATTTTCATCCCAATTACGGGGAAAGAGGAATACTGTACAATATGTAGAAACCTTTGAGAGTCCGGCCACTAGCGTTAGGGTGGTTAATCTTCAGGTGAAATAATCTGGGGTGTCTAGTGTAAAGGTGATTCTTATTTTACATTAAAGGGAGAATGAAGTTTGCGGTAATATAATGGAAGCACAGTGTACAGGTAGACTATGGAAAGAAAATAATGTACCTAAATGAATTTGTTTGTGAAATTTATTTGTATATTTACTTATTGTTAAACACATTCCTATTTATTTATCAAGGGCGTCGCAATGTACCAAGTGTAAAGTAATGCTGTAACACCACACCAGACCGCTGCAGTGTGTTGTGTACTGACAGTAGGGTGTATGTTACCCAAGATTGATACCCAGAATGGGACCTCGGGTGGAATTCTGATGCCCTTTGAGATAATTTTTTTACGTCGCAACTTTAGCGAGTCACTGGGATGGGATTTCTTATTGATAGATAACTGTACTCGGGAAATTTGACCAGGAACCTTTGAAAATGCCGAGGCATTCTTGGGCTGCTGTCATCGTTGGTGAGTTGAACAAATACCTATCTTATTTTATACTAGTAATTATATTTATGTAAATCATCATATGTTAATGGAATGGAATTTTCTGTCATACTGCAGTGTTCATTTCGATAAATATCATACAGTAGGTTATGTTTAAATTACCTCAAAATGGGACAGTAAAATGCATAATGTTGTAATAATACTTTGATGACCGATAATAATAATAAAAAAGATAATAATAATAGTTATAATAAAGATGATAATAATAATAAACCTTGATGAAGAAACCAGCCAAAAACACCCGATTAAAAACAATATCACACAGGCTGGTTTTATCATAGTCAACAGCCAGCCACCACATGTGAAGGTGAGGTGACTAGACAACAAGGACTAGTTACTATTATCCTCTTTACTCAAGGCTGCTTCTGATGGCCCTGGAGGGAGGTGGTGTGTGTGGGGGGAGGTGATGGTGTGCGTGGGGAGGTGGTGGTGTGCGTGGGGAGGTGGTGTGTGTGTGGGGGAGGTGATGGTGTGCGTGGGGGGAGGTGATGGTGTGCGTGGGGAGGTTGTGTGTGTGAAGGGGTTAACCTTTACCCACTTGCATGCATTAATTTACAGTCAGCTTCACAAATTGAGGCAAAAATGTAAGGTTTTGATTGGCTCCAATAACGCTCCTCAAGTAGTTATTGAGTGATCGGGGTTAAGTGTTGATAAGCTGACGTTTTTAAGTTTGAAATATTATTATTATTTTTTTTTTATAAATTACTTGAGGTAAATGTACAGTAGTTATCAATATTATTTGAAGAGCGCAATAGCACTCAGAAGACCCAGTCGTATCCGTGTTTTTGTTCAATTTGTATCTCTTCTAGGTAAATAAACATTCTATTTCGTTTTCAGTGTGTGAGTGAGAGAGAGAGAGTGTGATGTGTGTAGCCTCGTCGTCACCACCCCAACACTCATTCAATCAGCTAGTGAAGGTTAATGCATTATACTCAGCTGCAGGTGTTTTATAGTCATCCACACGAGACGAAGCTTGTGTTTTGGAAGGTTTTAGGCGGCTGATATGTACAGTATGTTTTCGTGGTGACATGTATGATAGCTAAGGTCTTATTTTGTGGCGTTGTCTTGAGCACAATAGTTATACATCAGTGAGTTGAGATTATAGATCAGAGTTGAGGTTATAGGCTATTTTGTTGCTCTATTATCAGTGAGGTTAGGAGACTATAGGCTATTTTGTTGTTCTATTAAGTTATTTGCTATTTTATTACAGTATTAGTATGGTATGTGCTATTTTATTTCTTTATTACTAAGTTATAGGCTATTTTATTACTCGTAGGAGGTTATGCTATTTATTACACTATTAGTAAGGTATATGCGAATACTCTTGTGTTCTATGCTATTTTATTTTATTAGTAAATTATATACTATTTTATTACCTTAAACTTGTTTTATTAAGAATTTTCTCCCTTTTCAGATGGACCAAGTTTGAATGCCGACAGGTGGACCGCGTATAGTGATTGTACCTGGCTGGCTAATACTACTACAATCCCCTTACGCAATGTTTACTCAGGCGTGCGTCGAGGACTTTAATGTTGTTTTGGTTCTACGCCAACTTCCACTTTACACTGACCCACATTTCCCGAGTGCTGGGACCTTGGAAATTGATGATACTGGTTGACATATTGGTGAGTACCTAACATGGTGGGTTGAGTTAGTTTAAGTTAGTAGGGACAATTTAAAGCAAATTTACCCTGAGTATTTTTTAATCTGTATATGATTTTTTTTAAAGAGGATTTCAGGATTTATTTGATTACATATTGTCCCAGAAACACTGATGTGGGATGTTTATTTTTATTGTCTAAATTTAATGGGTCTTTTGATGTTAATGTCTATAGAGGCCCTTTGATGTGTAAGTTATCCATTATAATAGAAATAATAGTAAAGATCCCAGTTAAAACTTTAAGAGGAAATAGTGTTGGATAAGGGTTACTATTTACTACTATTTGTATCAAGAGAGTCAGGACTTTTATTTGACATTTATTATATTTTCCTCAGTTTATGATTAGCTGCTGACAATATTAAGTGTCAGCAGAGGGCATTACTGGTGCTATATACTACAAGAAATCATCATTATTACCAAATTTTTAGGTTAGAAGGAGGTAAATCTCTCTCCTGCTTCGTTTTATCTGAGTTTTTCTAAGACTATCCTGTGTATGAGCGTCGACGAATAACAGACTGTAAATGGCTGTGTTCTGAGTGCGAGGTGTAGCCAATATTGCAAGGGAGGAACAGCATTACGGTATCTTAAGTGATAAATAATGGGTCAACACTATCTCTACCACTACCCATAGTAAAGACAAACTCATGATTAATCTCCCAACATAACTTTCTGAGGCGATAATCACTTTGGATAATAGTTATAGTGAGAAAATTATCGTCTAGGTCACCCACCTATTTGAAATTAAGGTCAGAATCGTTCCAAACACATCAAAAACCATCGGAAAAACATCATTTCAACCTAACCTGACCTAAACCTAACCTCGCTGGATGACCGAAGCGATAATACTGACATACTTTTATTTTATACAGATTTAGCGGATTTTCTCGATAATTTAATACAGTACAGAGTAGCACCCATGAACACTGTACTTGTTAGTGGTCAATTATAGTCATGTTAGGTTAGAGTGATAGGAGTAACAGTGATGGTATTGAGGTACTTACGGGTAGAGGTTATGACCAGTAGAGGTGGTGGAGGCTGGTCTGTGGTGAGCAGTGGTGGAGGCTGAGCTACAAACAGATTTGGTTTAGGTTGTCCAACTGGAAGACCCGGGTTGTTGATGGCAGCCGCACAACTATATAGGGCGTTTACCTTGAAGATGTCTGTCTGTTGGGTTAGGTTAGGTTGAGTGGGTAATTAAAAGCAAATTTACAGATAAAAATAAGAAAGTGGATCAGGTTTTTATATATGGTATTTACATTACAGTACTCAGTCATCGTTGTACTCCACTTATGATTAAAATTATCATCAAGGGAGGAAGGATATTTTGTACTCTACGATGTCTCTTTAACGTACAGGACTTGGGGCTTCCCGCTGTCCTATAATGGCGCCAGGTTGCTTCGTTATAATGGTGGGAGAGGTCGGGTCCTTAGCGAAGTGATTCCAACTGTAGTGCATTACCGAACCTATGGATGAGGGAGGGGGTAGATTAGGGTACATCAATCGTACTATGGTTGTACAATAGATGGTAAAATATCATATTGTGGTCGTTCAGTAGTCCTCAAGTCGGTCGTTGCAGAAGTCGTGGGGATTTAGTTACATACCGTAGTCATAGGGAGCGCCGAAATCTTGCGCCGTAAGTGTGGTTCTGCGGGCGAAGTTCTGTCTCTTGTCGTTTGGTATGTTGTCCCACACAATGGTCACGTGGTTGTCTCTGTCTGCCCTCGCCTGCTCGTGCCAAAACCCTGAGTATGGTGTACATGGTGATATTAAATAGTGACGTGGGGGGATGGTGACGTAGGAGATGGTGACGTGAGGGGAATTGTGGCTAATGGTGACGTAGGAGATGGTAACGTGAGGGGAATGGTGGCGTAGGAGATGGTAACGTGGGATGGTGAATGATGGTGACATTAAATGGTGTCGTGGAGAGATGGTGACGTCGGTGATGGGGAAACTGTATACATAGTGATGGTGATGTGGTGATAGTGACAACATGATTATTAATGGTGATAGGGTAATGTTTATAGGATTAATATTGATAGTGATGAGTGACACTATATATACTAAAACTGTCGTGGGGGGGGACATTTAGGAGGTCAGGTCAGGTCATTAGCCAGGGAAAGAAAAGTGTCTCAGAATTGTCTAAACTATCAATTCCAATAGTTAAATTCTTAAGATTCCCCGGATGACCGAAACTAAAATAATACCATTAATTTGTGATTGAGTGAAGAGTGCAATCATGTTTTTGGAGGTCATTGGCCATTAATCATTCCTGTGGAAGGTTTAATTATGTTTTTTAGTATGTATTTGTGTCTGAAGCTTTATATCCGTCTGTACCTGTATTTCTTTATGTATTAATACCTGTACTTTTACCTGTATACCTGTACTTGTATATGTATCACGCTTGTACCTATACCTGTGAGTGTTACTTGTACCTGTGTTACCTGTACTAGTACTTAAACCTGAACACAACCCATTACAGTTATTTATGAGTCGTTAAATAGAATAATACGTAAATTAAAATACTGAAAACTCACGCGAATCCATTACCGTATTCGTGACGTCATCATCAATTACGCGAATGCCAGTGAATCAGAGATAAATTCGGATTTCTTAAGAGACTCAACGTAAGATTCAAATGACGTTTAAATTACACTAAAACACTATACCATTTGATAGAGGAATTAACTTACGAATCTTTTAAGACTATAACACCTCGACCTCCCCCTCCCCCCGTTCTTATTTATATCTTAAGAGTAATGCGTGGTCCTGAATCTCTCGAAACCATTCATCTGGTGACTCATACTGACTGACTCACTAGGTACACTGACTCACACAACCGCCCTCACTCACCCTTGACCTTACTTGTGTGGTGGCAGTAGTTGTCTCCTGTATTATGTTACTGGGTTTTCTTATTTAATGTTGATGAGATTATTATTATTGTGATTATTTTTGTTATTATTGCCATTTTCCTTCTTCTCATTATTTTTTATTATTATTAAGTTTTAGGTGGGAAAATTCGCCATATAGTACAGAATATACAAAGCACTCGAAGCTATTTATAGTTGTGTATATTACAAGCGTGTGTGTGTGGGGGGGGGGGTGTTTCTCGTCTGTGAAATGTCTCCTAAATAAAAGGTTACTTACTTACATAGGTCCTGACGTATCATCTGTTATTTATGTGTTCTGTGAAGGCTGACTGTGAGGAGGGTGTGGTAATGGCAAGATGAGAATTGTGAGTTAGGGGGAATTTATTTAGAATGATGATAGTAATAATAGTGGTAATGATAATAGGATTGAGGATACTATTGCTACTACTAATACTGATAATAATAGTATTAATATAAGCAAAACAAATTAAGTAATAAGTAAATAAGAAAATATCAAACTAAAAAAAAAAACACTAAATTGATAAAAAAAAATCATTGTATCAAGTGGCCTTTAAAAACCCTCTTGATATTGTTTGCATTACACCCGTGGGGAAACAAGCACTTGACACAACACTGTTAGGGGCAACTCAAGGGCCACCACTCTTTCTGCGACACCCCGTACCTGAACCACCAGCTGGCACCCTCGTGTAGGTGCCAACAGTTTGACGTTCACACAAGTCACATGAATATATATACAGTCACGGCTGAAATAAACCTGCCCCTCCTGTTGCCATAGATTTAGACAATAGATATCCATTATCGGAACAACGGCGTCTGATTGGTTAGATTTTTTTTTTAACCAATGAGAGACGAGTAGCATCAAAACAAATGTGACGGAGAAGAGCGGGACAATTAATTAGCGTTCAAAACAAAACATCTTATTGTTTCTGACCCAAATTTAAGTTTTTCGTACGCGTTTTCATTCCGACTCCTCTCATTGGTTAACAAATCAACCAATCAGATCGTTCCTCTCTTGTTTACATATATGACATAAAGGTATAATTAAGGGGCCTTTGGGTGAAAAGCCTCGTTAATGTAAACAAATATTGTGAGGAGAGAGACGATACGGAGAGCTCTATAAAATGTTAAAATTCTCCTAAAATTTGTTACTTTTTCTTCAACAGTGAGCGTCCAGTCCTGTGCCTCCTGTGTCTATGTATATATTCTGAAATGTATCATCTGCATTGTCTATATACATGGTGAGTTAATGTAAATTTGTATAATGATATTAACTCATAAAACTGAACTGAGGATGAGTAACTTAATATCTGAGGACAAAGTTTAATGCACATACAGTAAAACCTCCATATAACGGACTTCTCTCTATATATAATCCGTTAAATGGGTTTTTTTTATATCTAACAGACCTTCGATATACCGGAACTTTCATCTCTATGTACTTTAATAGATAGAGGTTTCACATCTAACGAACCTTCCATATAACGGATTCTCCTCTCCATATAGTCCGTTAAATAGAGGTTTTACTGTATAGGAAGGGGGTAAAGTTGTTCGTCGTTAGGTAAACAACAACATAAACACTACACGAAAGAGTCGGTGTTCATCCTGGGAATAACACAATAGTAGTAGACTAATAACAGGGGTGTGGCATTTTGCCCTTGTCCCGTATGACACACACCTGGAGAATGCGTTTGTTTACATTACTGTTGGCTAGTAGTGTGTGTGTGTGTGTGTGTGTATTGGCGACTTTTTTACCTGTATTGTCTGGATAAGATTTAAAGGACCACTTAAAGATGAGACACCATATATACCTTAACTTCACCTGAAGGTTAACTACCCAAACACTAACCTAACCTAACTGAGATTAGTTTAGTGAGACTGAAATTCGATTAGCCATTTGAGATTAGGTTAGACTGAGATTAGGTAAGAGACTGAGTTTTGGTTAGTGAGACTGAGATTTGGTTACTCAGGGTGACATTTGGTTGGCACCCACCTAAGACGTGCATCAATTCATGGGCCACAACTCCAGGTGATAAACAAGCCTTGGATAATCTAACCAACTGCTTCTTCCCCTGACGACCCACACTAGATGAGCACCTGTGGAAACAATATACATTACTATTGACTATAATGGTTAGTATATACATTATTATTGACTATAATGGTTAGTATATACATTATTATTGACTATAATGGTTAGTATATACATTATTATTGACTATAATGGTTAGTATATACATTATTATTGACTATAATGGTTAGTATATACATTATTATTGACTATAATGGTTAGTATATACATTATTATTGACTATAATGGTTAGTATATACATTATTATTGACTATAATGGTTAGTATATACATTATTATTGACTATAATGGTTAGTATATACATTACTATTGAATATAATGGTTAGTATATACATTATTATTGACTATAATGGTTAGTATATACATTATTATTGACTATAATGGTTAGTATATACATTATTATTGACTATAATGTGAGAGAAACGAAGAAAACGAAGCAGAATGTGAGAGAATAAGAACATAAGAACATAATACCTACGTGGAGGAGGCGATGAAGAAGATGTAGTCAGTGTGGGTCCCCTGCTGATAAGGGATGAATTTAACGCACGAGGACCTGTGAAACTGCACGATACCCGCTGCTATGGCCGCCCGACCTGCTTTAGCTGTGGGGAGTGACGGAGTAGTGGTGTCGGTGGGTGGGGGAGTGACGGAGTAGTGGTGCGTGGGTGGGGGAGTGACGGGGTAGTTGTGGGTGTGTGTGTAATAATAATAATTAACGGTTTATTGAAAGAGCATGGCAGCCGGAAAGCTGAAAATATACAATTACATAATTGGGGAGCGGGTCTCTTGATTAACAAATAATACACAGGTAACATAAGTGATACAAATATGATATATAATAATTAGGTGTTGATAATTTTTACAGTGGCTGGGACTGGGCTGTTCTTATAGTAATCAGTACGTGCTCGTATGGGCTGGATACGGTTGGGCAGGTGTGTGTCCACGTGGCCAGGACAGTAGCTTGGGGCAATGCAGGTGTGCTCCATCCTTCAGGTTAGGTCAGATCCAGCCACACTCAGTATTACACTGCTGTGTGTTCGTGCTTTTCCTTGGAGTGCACTATAGGAACACTGTTTGGTAGTCAGTCGTTCATTGTTCACTTGAATGTTTTGCTGAATAAATCCCGGTGTAGTAAGGCTGGTAGGGCGCTGGAATATAGCAGGGGGAGGGGGGGCGGCAGGGCCAAACAGACTCGGCCTGGCTGCTCAAACTGGGAGCGCCTTCAGGGCACGTCTTGTCTCGCTGGTGGTTGACAAGTGTGTGTGTGGTAGGTCAAGTTTATGGTATTTTGATGAGTTTTAGTCAGTGTTTAGGTAAATGTACAGTAATCGATGTTTAATGTAAGTTTGGTTAACATTTGGTGAGTCAGGGCAATGTTTAGGTAAGTCGGGTGGTGTTTAGGTTAATTTAGTCGATGTTTACGGTGAATATCGCCAATGTTTAGGTAAGTCAGAGCGATGTTTAGTTAAGACAAGTCATGTTTAGGTAAATATCGTCAATGTTGAGATAAATTGAATCGATATATTTAGATGAGAAAGGCAATTTACTCTTATTTTCCAAAACAAAATAAAAATTACTCACTGAACTTGCTAGACACGGCATAAGGAACCACTCCCTTGGGCCACATCTTCCTATTGTCGACGATGGCATTCCTGGTCACCTGTAAGTAATTAGTGAGAAAATGTTCCGGTTACCTGTTGATAAGTTGCGGTAACATCTTTTTTTTTATAAGTGTTTCTTTATACGGGAGCGAAAACAAATGAAAATACGGAATTAAGTGAAAAAGAAGTTAAAAATAGTGAAAAACGAGTTAAGATACCGGTTACGAGTTAAATTAATGAATAAGCTGAAAAAACGAGTTAGAAATACTGCATAACCTGAAAAACGAGTTAGAAATACTGATTGCGAGTTAAAATGATGAATAACTTGAAGAAAACGAGTTAAAATACTTAAAAACCTGAACAAAACGAGTTAATAATACCGAATAACACTAAGCAGCATGATAATAACAGAAGAACGACCATATGAACCACAGAATGAAAACAACAACAATAATAAATGTGATCTTACCATGAAGGCGTTGACTAGTTCCTGAGACGAGGTGATGACAATGTCCCCCTCGAACAGTTGGTCTTGCGCTAACACATCTGTCGTTGGATTTCTTAACCCGTCGCTGTCTGTGGGTAATGGCTCTCTGGTTAGGTTACGTGTTTTGATTGATTTTTTTAGGCCTAATTGGTTATTATATTTAAGTATTATTATTATTATTATTATTATTAACATTATAAACACTCCAACAACCCCCTCCCCCCCACCCCCTCACCCATGTAAGGAACCCCCCGAGGAAAGGATTCCCTACTGTCGCCTGTGTGTGTGAGAGAGACAAGACTAATTGGCGGCTCACAGTCTTGTTAGGAATCTCTGATAATTCCTCTCCTAATCTTATCACTTCCTATAATTAGTTTTTTCTTCCCTGTAAAAAAATAATAATAATAATAAAAAATAAAAACTATATATACGTGGGAAGGTTTTGGGTCGCGTCTATCTTCTCGGACAGGTTGTGTTTGGTTGCTATTTGGTTAAGGCTTATTGGGTAGGTTAGGTTAGTGGGGTGTTTGTTTATGTTAAGAGGTAGGTTAGGTTAGGTTAGAGGGGAGTTTGGTTAGGTTAAAAGTGTGTTTGGTTATGTTAGAGGTGGGTTGGGACTAGGTTAGGTTGGTGTTTGGTTAGGTTAAGGTAGATCAAGTTAGGTTCGGTTAGGTTAGAGGGGAATGTGTTTATGATAGAGGTGGGTTAAGGAGGTTAGGTTAGAAGCGGTTTGTGTTAGGGTAGAGCAAGTTAGGTTAGGGGTAATAAGTTAGGTTATGTTTACGTGTTTGCCTTGGGGGGGGGGGGTAAGATAATGGACTTGAATTTTAATTATTTCTATTATCATGGCAGCAGTTTACCATTTTTTTTACAGGAGTTGATTTAATGGTTTAATAAATGGTCTTATGGAACTGGTTTATGTTTTTACAGGCGGCGGGAGACAGGAGCGTGCAGGTGTGGGGTAAGTACACAGCTTAACACATCTAAGATATCATTATAATAGGTAGCAGTTGTATACATGTTAACCTAACCAAATCTAATCTAATCTAACCTAATCTAATCTAACTTTAACTTAACCTAACCTAACGTAACACTTAAAGTTGTGGTTTATAAAGGTAGTGTAGTGTTTCTGGTGCAGATGGAAGTAAGGTAAGGTAAGGTTAGGTTAGGTTAGGTTAGGTTAGGTTAGGTTAGGTTAGGTTAAGGCATGACTATTTTCCTGCTACTGTATTTATTATATGGTTTTGGTGACTCTTTCCTGTGATTATGGTTGGAGAAGAGTGTTGGGTGGTGACACTAACTACTGAACAACCTACCTGCAGCAGTGTCGTGTTGTAGGTCCAGTAACTCCTCCGCCAGGCTCCAGTCTTCGTCAGTGAGTGGTGTGCCTTCATCCTCACTCTCGCCCTGTTAATGGTTCCTGAGTTAGTGGTGGACAATATTCTCTCTCTCTCTCTCTCTCTCTCTCTCTCTCTCTCTCTCTCTCTCTCTCAAAGTTAAAATGCCGGAGAAATGTTGCAAGTTCCAATGGTGAAATTTCTTTAGTTTTCCCCCCAATATCCTGTAACATTGAGAAGTTAAAACATTTCAACATTACAAGTTACAACATTTATACAACATTGTAACTTGCAACATTTTTGGACGATTGCAATGTCATAACAGATCACATTGTTAGCCCATAGCGGCCCACACATCCGTCAAGAACAGAGTGACGTTGTGTGTGTGTGTGTGTGTGTGTGTGTGTGTGTGTGTGTGTGTGTGTGTGTGTGTGTGTGTGTGAGGCTGATGGTCTTCGGAAACCACAACGCCTCAAGATTGTCCATAAGTGGTGATGACGTGTGGTAGAGAGAGTGACGGTCCACCACACAGGCAGATGGACGCACAGACAGATGGACGCGCAGACAGATGGACGCGCAGACAGATGGACGCGCAGACAGATGGACGCACAAACGGATGGCCGGGAGAGGAAATTATAGTTTTTCTTGAATTTGTGAATAAGTGGTTGGATGATAATGACCTCACAGCCTCTCACACACACACACACACACGAGATGCTAGCGCTATCTGACGACCTTGTGTGGTACGAAGCAAGAGGCGTTTCACCGGGAAGGAGGGAGAGAGGAAGGAGGAAGAGAGGGTGACTAGAGAGAAGAGGAGGAAGGGAGAGAAGGAAAGAGGAGGACGATAGAAGGGGAGGAATGAGGACGAGAGAGAGGGAGAAGAGGAAGAGAGAGAGGGCGAGAGGGAAGGAAGAAAACAGAGAGAGGAAGGAGAGAGAAAGCAGAAGGGAAAAAGAGAGAGACAGAAAGAAAGAAAGACCAAAATATCCCACAGCTCATATCAACAACCTCAACTACATCCACCAGGGTCAGGTTAGGTCTCAGCATAACCTGACCTCTTATGCTGCTGACCTGAGAGAGAGAGAGAAGCGAGGTCAGGTGTTTTTTGAGGAATTTGAATTTGCCGAGCGAGGAGGCTAGTTTATTGGGTATCCTCTTGCATAGTCTGTAAGGTCAAACTGGGAGGTCAAGGGTCAACAGAGAGAGTCAGGATTGTTGATGTTCTGTGTGTGTGTGTGTGTGTGTGTGTGTGGTGTTTTGCTGTCAAGGGTCAAAGGAAAAATGGAGATAAGGAAATGAGGGAGAAAGATTGAAGGAGGAATTTAAGGAAAGGGGGAAGACTAAGGGACTGTGTATGGGGGTTGGTGGGGGTATGTTTCTCACCCCCACCTCTCTCTCTCTCTCTCTCTCCCTCACTAAGGTACTGACCGTGACTAGAGGCTGGTAGGGGTTGACCTTGCTCAACTCTGCAGTGAAGTTAATGACCACCACCTGTTGGGTCATTGACTTGACCTCTCCTCGCCGCGTCTGATCATCCACCTGTGTCCGTCTGTGTATTTGACGTGACCTACGAACGTTGAGTTGTGGGTGGAGGTTTGCGTTGTCTGTGGCGTAAATGGCGTTGTCCGTGGCGTAGGTGGTGCTGTAGGCGTTGTCTGTGGCGTAGGAGGCGTTATCTGTGGCGTAGGAGGTGCTGTAGGCGTTGTCTGTGGCGTAGGATGCGTTGTCTGTGGTGTAGGGAGCGTTATAGGCGTTGAGGGAGACTTCATTAGCATTCCCCAGAACGTGTATAGCGTTGAGACGGTCACTTACAACACTATAGCCTTCGTTGTTAGCGTTGAGGTTACCAGCGTTGTGGCGTTGGTGGGTGGCGGCGTGGTAACTGAGGCTGTCAACGCTACACGCCAACAGTGACCACATCACCATGATCTTTAAACGCCAGTGATACATATTATTTAGCGTTTAGTCCCACCTTTCGTTTTTTCTGAGTGACTTTTCCTTTAGTTTTCCGTTTTTAAGTGTTTAGCGTTTTTCCGTTTTCAATGTGACTTTCCTGTTTTTCCGTTTGGATATGTCTCTCCTGCGTTTTTTCCCGTTTTTCTTAAGTGGCCACTGTGTTTATTCCTGTTTATTATGTGATTTTTCCTCTTATTTTTCCGTTTTTCTTGAGTATTTCTTGCGTATACCACACACACACACACACTCACTACCGTTTGTGTTTGGTTTGTTTACGTATCACACACACACACACACACCCAAAGCACCGTATTAAGTGTGTCTTCAATATACCAGATACACACACACACACTCACCATCGTATTGTTGAATATGTGAGTGTGCGTTAAGCCATTGTTTCTTCACTACACAAGACACTGATACGTCTATCTTCACTACACACACACACAGTCACTGCCGTGTACACGAAGCGACTGGTGGTGGTGATAGTGGTGGAATGTGGTGGTGGTGGTGGTGGTGGTGGTGGGAAATAACCTGTCTCCACGTGTAAAGAGATACCGTTGCAAGGCCTCCAAGATGCCTCATACATGCTCTGGTGACTGAACTCTTTAATTACTCTGTCGCACTTGTCACACCTGAGTTTTTGTCGTGCGAGTATAATGGGGGTGACTTTAGTACGCTATCAGGTAACTACGAGGTTTAGGTAACTACGGTGGTAATTAATTGTGTTGTATTTCTTGCAAGCAACAGGTTATTTAAGTATATTATCTTGCAAGCACTGGGTCATTTAACTTCTTGCAAGCAACAGGTTATTTAAGTATATTATCTTGCAAGCACTGGGTCATTTAACTTCTTGCAAGCACGGGGTTATTTAAACTCTTGCAAGCAACAGGTTATTAAGGTATATTATCTTGCAAGCACGGGGTCATTTAACTTCTTGCAAGCACGGAGTTATTTAAACTCTTGCAAGCAACAGGTTATTAAAGTATATTATCTTGCAAGCACGGGGTCATTTAACTTCTTACAAGCACGGGGTTATTTAAGCTCTTGCAAGCAACAGGTTATTAAAGTATATTATCTTGCAAGCACGGGGTCATTTAACTTCTTGCAAGCACGGGGTTATTTAAGCATGGTGTCTTGGAGGTACATTTTTTTATGCAATCAACTAATATATGTCAGTAACTGTGAATTTCCTGACACACACACACACACACACACACACACACACACACACACACACACACACACACACACACACACTGTCGACAAGTGCAAGACTGTGTCAAGATGTCAATAAGATGTCAGTGAGGAACGCCGTCATGCAGGTATATTGTCATCCATTTACATTGTTTAAGATGCGAGGTGTGGTGTAAGCTTGCTATCACTTATGCTCGCTCTCAGTCATACAAGCACACTGATGCACGTATGCCTTCATGGGAAAACCCCGTCGTGCATTCAATCTGCCATGAAATCACATTTTAATCAAGTATGTAGCGTTATAATTCACTCTTTGTCATACATTCACTCTCATGCAAGTACAATGTCAAGCAAGCAGAGTGTCTTGCAAGGACGAGAGAGAGGGGCAGGCAGTAGGACACCCGGTGGTCAATAGCCGAGCTAAATAGACTCCGTGACCACAAACTCGTAAACAAACACACACACACACACACACACACACACACACCGCAACACAGTAATAAAGTATTGGATTTCAGGAGGTCGTGTTATTCGTCCTCAGTTTAATGTGTTGGGATGGTGAGGTGTGTTCTTCTTGTTGGTAATACTGGATGATGAGGCGAGAATGTTGTGTGAAGAGGAATTTGGGAAAGAATTGGTAATATTGTTTGTTTTTATTTTTGTTGTTATTGTTGATGGTTATTATTATTGTTTATGGTATTTTGTTGTTGTTATTTTCGTTATTATTGTTGTTGTTGTTATTATTGTTGTTATTCTTATTATTATTATTGTTATCATCATTATTATCATTGTTATTATTATTATCATCATCATCATTTACTCCAAAACACTTAAAATAATACCCCCAAAAAACCTAACCTAACCTAACCTAACCTAACACAACCCAAAATAACCTTCCATACACACAGAGGAATTACCATAACACCGTACACATAACATCCCTTTAAACGATATAAACATAACATTAATCTCTTCCTCCTTTACGTGATGCATTATATAAATAGAAGATTAATTAACGTTAGATCTATTTAAGGAAAAGTCCACACACACACACACACACACACACACACACACACACACACACACACACACACACACACACACATGCCCTAGAAACACTTACATTGGATGACTCATTCCTACACAAGTGCGTCGCCAGGAGTGCTGATTGGAATGGCTGCTGGTTTACTGTATATGGTTCATCTATGGGTCGTTAGCTGTGTTATTTGTTTATAGGGGGGTGGAGAGGTGTGGGTGGGGAAGGAGGCGGGGGTTCGAGATGTGGGTGGGGGAGTTCTTTGCGTGTGGGTGGAAGGTGTTGCTTGGCTAGGAGGGACGTGTCTGGAAGGGAGGGGGTTCCTTCATCAACTGGGTGTGTGGGGTGGGTGGGTGGGGAGATGTCGGTAATAATTTTAACGAGACAGATTGCAGTATAATTATGGAAAAGTCTCCCCACCCTCAAAGAACATATCTATAATCTAGTACACACACACACACAGTACTGCCCCAAGTTGGTCATATCCGGATAGGGAGTCACTAACCTCACCTCCTAACCCCTCCACTACTCTCTCCCTACCCCTGCCCCCTTACCCCTTCCTACCCCAGAGGTCAACAGACACCTAACCTATCCCCAACTCCCCTACCCCTTTCTACCCCCACTCTTCCCCTGCCTCTCTATCCCTCCCTAACCCTATGAGGTCAACAGACACCTAACCTAACCTAACTGATATTTTGATATTCTCGAAATATTTGTAACTTACGAAAATCTAGTTGAATTAAACGCTGGATAAAAGCTTTACGACAGCTTATCCCCCCGACAGCTTAGTGACAGTTTATCCCCCCGACAGCTAAGTGACAGTGAGAACCAAAAGAGTGACACTTGAGGCCACACACACACACACACACACACACACACACACACACACACACACACACACACACACACACACACACACACACACACACATCAGTCTCTCCGTCAATAATTTACCTCTCACCTCTCACCTCACTTCTCACCTCGTCACCTCTATTAAGGATAGTATAAGAAACTTGGTGTGTGATTGACGCTTGCCCTAGAAACACCTCCACATATTGCTTCACTTCAGATTCGTCGAGGTTACGTTAGGTGTAGGTTAGCCTATGTTAGGTTAGGGTGTGTTAGGTTAGGTTATGTTGGTTTAGGATGGGTTAGGTTTGGTTAGGTTAGCTCACAACTGATTATATTCACAGTTCTATTAGTTTTTATTATTATTATTATTATTATTATTATTATTATTATTATTATTATTATTATTATTATTATTATTGGATATTCCACATTTACTCGTCTTTGCCGGCCAGGGAGTGTGGTCAGAATCCATATGCTTGAAGTATATGTATAAATCCTCGCAGTAGTAGTGTGTAATTCCTGCTTACTGTTGGGAGGAGGGGGGGTGATATTTGCTACAGTGGCTAGTTTATTGTGCACACATCTCATATTTTTGTTGTGGACGGAAATGTGAAATGCTTGAAGTGCATATAATGAGACCTTGGGCCAGTGTGTGTAATAATAATAATAATAATTGACGGTTTATTTAAAAAAGTTCTGCAGCCCGAAGGCTGAAAATATACATTGGACATAAATGACTTATTACATACATTGGTGGTTTAACAAAAGCCTTCATTAGAGAAAGGTAAAGGAACATACAGTGAACATACAGATTATTGTAGGTGTTGAACAGCAAACACGTAGTGTAGTAACTCCCTCCCAGATGGTATTAGGAGTTTCCCACTATGACGCAAGAGGCACTTCTTCCTGCCAAGAGAGATAATACTGTACCGTACCGTAACTCTTTGCTGTGTAGTGTATTACCCAACCTAATCCAACCCAACCTAACCCAACCCAACGCAACCCAACCCAACCCAACCCAACCATCTTGTTTATCTCTATTAAGCTTGTTTAATGAAGACAAAGAAACACCCAGACATACAGACAGACAGACACCCAGACATACATACAGACAGACAGACACCCAGACATACAGACAGACAGACACCCAGACATACGCCATCTCTCATCAATTTACTGCCTGGTGAGTGAGGTTGGTACAGATTAAACATGTAAACATCATCTGATAATCTTTCTGCTCTAGTGAATGTTTTGTCTTTAAATTACTTGAGGAATTTTAATGTTAATTCACTTGGTTGGGCTCAGGGGAGTGATGCAGCGAAAGTCACAAAGAAGGTGTGTGTGTGTGTGTGTGTGTGTGTGTGTGTGTGTGTGTGTGTGTGTGTGTGTGTGTGTGACGGTGTGTGTGTGATTGTATATGTGTGTGTATGTATGTAGTATGTATTGCATGTATGTATGTATGTATGTGTGTATAAGAGTAAGTACAGTATAAGTAACGTGAACTCAGCATTAAACTGACTCAAGGGGTGACAAGCAACATCTTAGTGTAACTATTGACCCTGACCTCTAATAACTGTTGACCTTTGACCTCTGTAACACACAAGACTGTTACACACACACACACACACACACACACACACACACACACACACACACACACACCCATGACAAGACTAGTTGACTTACGTACCGGATATTGGATTCTGGACCGACGAACGGACAGACAGACGGACGGACGAACGGACAGACAGACTGATGGATGACAGACAGACAGACGGACAACACAGACAAGCTATATCTCGTCTTATCACTAAGTATCAATTATCTGTCTTAATAGATATCTGGGATCACCCAATGCTCAGACACGCGCTCCAGTTTATTTCACCTGAAGATTAAACATCCTAGTTTATGTGGATGACTCAGTGGGTATGTATTTATGTATGTGTATGTGTTGATTTATGTGTATATGTTTGTGTAGTATGTGTGTTTGTATGTATTAATTTATATTGAGTATGTCTGTATGAATTTATGTGGTGTATGTGTCTGAATGAACGAATGTGGCAAATATTTATGTATACTCTAGTTGCATGTGTATGTGTACGTATGTATGACTGTTGTGTATGTAATAATAAATAATAATAATAATAATTAACGGTTTATTGAAAAAGTTCTGCAGCCCGAAGGCTGAAAATATACATTGGACATAAATGACTTATTACATACATTGGTGGTTTAACAATAGCCTTCATTAGAGAAAGGTAAAGGAATATACAGATTAATGTAGGTGTTGAACAGCAAACACGTAGTGTAGTAACTCCCTCCCAGATGGTGTTAGGAGGGACCTCACGTGGTGTAGTAGTTCCCTCACAGATGGTG